GGATTTCTGAAGACAAAGGGAAGACAAAGCTCTGGTGTTTTTGTTTGTTTGTTTAATCTGTCAGTCCGGGCTATGAATTTGATTTTTCTAAACATTACCCATAAATGCCAAGATGTTTTGATTGGAATCAAAAATTAACCCAACTTTTAAATGTAAGTCATCAGTAGAAGACAATATTTGTTGGTGAGTTTATTTTCCAGTATTTTCCTCATTATGTTTTCTCCTTAGCACAAGGATTGTATTTTGGATACACAATTAATGTATACTTATTCATATATATATAGCAAGGGCCCAGAAAGTTTTAAACATTGTTGCTATTGCTTATAGACAGTGTAGCAACTTGAAAATGTTTTCTATAGAAGCCAGTGACTATTTGCCTCAGGGTTAAACAGGAAAAGATGAGGTTCAGAAGGTTGGTTTGAGGTGAAGGGTAGAAGAGGCCCATCCATTGTCAGGTGACAGAAATCTGTCCCCCACCCCACACTCCATTCAATTTATGCTTTCCACGATAGATCATGCTATCTATGACTTGATAGCATTAACTCCACCCTCCCTTGCTGGAAAATATTGCTGACTCACAGTGAACAGAGAACTTGGTGGCATGTTAGAGCTGCTGAGAACACATACCTGGCTTGCTGCACTTGCTCTGAGTTGCACAGGCTCTATGTTTTGATACAAGCTGATTAGGAAGAGGCTTATAAAATTGGGTTTTTAATTTTTAAATCATTTTATTTATTAAATCTCTTGTCCAGCGTTTCTGAGGTTTTGCAACATAAACATCTGGAAGCAAATATGCAAATAACAAATACCACCTTTCCAGAACATTTGTGTAATTAACAACTTCCCTAGTGTGATCTGAGACACCCCTCACCCCTTTATCAACTAAGAGGGACCCTAAGGTTAAGAAACCAAGATTACCTATGGGTGGAGGGTTCAGGACCTGGCTGGCACCGCAAATATTTAAATTCCTGTGGGTATAAGAAGAACCACAGTCTTGCTACACTCCCTAACACTAGGAGCGACCAGACCCACCCCACCCCCACCCCCCCGCCAACTCTCTGATTTATAACCCAGAGCACCACAACTCTGATTAGATAGAGGACCAACTTCATAAACTTCTCTTCTAATAAGCAACTGTAGACCACAAGCCAGTTTCAGCCAGCTATGGAGTCTTTTCACAAACAGTTTTTGAGTCTAATAGTCTCCCTTTCGACATAAAGAGACAAATTGCACCTTTTTGGGTTTTTTTGTTTGTTTGTTTTTTGTGGTTTTTTTTTTTTTTTTTTTTTTTTTTGAGATAGTGTCTTGCTCTGTCACCCTGGCTAGAGTTCAATGGCATCATCACAGCTCACTGCAACCTCAAATTTCTGGGCTAAAGTGGTCCTCCTGCCTCAGCCTCCCTACTGCTGGGACTATAGGCATGCTCCACCATACCTGGCTAATTTTTCTATTTTTCACGGAGACACGGTCTCACTCTTGCTCAGGCTGGTCTTGAACTCCTGACCTAAAGTGATCCTCCAGCCTCAGCCTCCCAGAGAGTGTGGATGACAGGCCTGAGCCACCATGACTGGCCTCCATCTCATTTTAATGCCATATCCCTGCGCCAAAGTGAACATGGCTGTTACATACCGTGTACTCATTGTGCACACACTTGGCTCCCATCATAAATACACACAGCTTGTCCCCCAACCCTGTTCAATGTGTGTGACTCTCTTGTGTGATACAGACCCTGTGAGGCATAAAACCCAACCTACCCTTTCCCTCTTTAAAGAAAGCATATTTGTTCCACACTGCAGATTCCCTCTCCCAGGTTTGCAAACAAATATCACCAGTAAAGCTCTCCTTTCTACTGTTTGGATACCCTGGTGGTCTTTGGGATGATGCCAGCATCTTGAGCACAGGTTTTTCCTGTTGTAGTTCAGTAGCTGCTAGGAACTGAGGGCAGGTGACTTGCAGAAACCTGACCTGGAGAAATTGCAGAGTCCTCTGAGCTGTAGAAGAGGACAAAAGTCATTTTCCTTCTACTTATCTTAAGTTCATTAACTTAAGAAAACAATTAAATTAAAAGAGAACAAACAGATGACTCAGAAGACAAAAGTTTGTGAACACGTGCACTGTGCATGCACAAGGGAGCACTCAGACATGAGTAAACCAAACGGATTTAGGGTTCAGGGTCTCTTTACCTAACTTAGTAATGGAAAGGGAGGAGGATAAAAAGCACCTTTGCAAAATGAAATGACCTTTGGAAAGGTTAAGGGGCCTTCAGGAGCATAACTAGGAGAGAAGATAGTCTTGCGTCAGTATCTGAGTGTGGGGCCCAGTTCAGCCGTGTGAGAAAGAGACTGGAGTTGCTCCCAGGGAGGGGGCGGGGCTTATGGCAATTGAGTTCTGTGGATGAAAAAAATCCTAACTCTCAAATATTTGAAAGAAGTTTATTCTGAGCCAAATTTGAGAACCATGACCTAGAGCCACTCCCAAGAAGCCTTGAGCAAGTGGACTCCATGTGGTTAGGTTACAGTTTGGTTTTATACATTTTAGGGAGATAAGGGTTACAGATAAAGTCATAAATCCATTCACGGGAGGCATACATTGGCTTGGCCCAAAAAGGTGGGCCATCTCAAAGCAAGGGCTTACAGGTTATAGCTGGGTTTAAAGATTCTTTGGCTTATAACTGGTTAAAGACATGAAGCTTTGTCTAAAGGCTTGGAATGTTTCAACATAAGGAGCTGTTATCAGAGATAAGCCAGCAGGACACAGATTTGTTGTGTAAATGGGGGACCTGTAGGTTTGTGTTGCATACCCCTAGGCCTGTTACTAAGGATGTCCCCCAGAAGGGAGGGGGGCATGATAAGGCATGTCTGACCTCCTTCTTCTTGGCAGGTAGTTTAGTTTTAGGATATTCCTTTGGCCATGAGGGGGTCCATTTAGTCAGCCTGTGGAAGGTGAGCCTTAAAATTTTATTTCAGTTCACAGTTCTTTGGGGAGGCTCCGCTGTTAGACAGGGATTTCAGGATCTGTAATGCCTTCAGTTCAATATAATTCTTATAACACACAGGCATATTTTGGTGTGGAACATCCTGGTTCTTTACTAGGAAAATGCATGTTGGTGCTGAAGCAAGCCCAGCCATATACCAATGCTTAGTTACTATGTCTGGCTGTGCAGTAGGGGACAGTTCATTCCTCAAGAACTGATAGGGGCCTGGCCCGGTGGCTCATGCCTGTAATCCTAGCACTCTGGGAGGCCAAGGCAGGAGGATCACTCAAGGTCAGGAGTTCGAAACCAGCCTGAGCAAGAGTGAGACCCCTTCTCTACTAAAAAAAAAAAAATAGAAAGAAATTAATTAGCCAACTAAAATTAGATATGATGATAAAATTGCTTAGAGATGCTGCTATGAAAACTCTCCCCAAAGACACTTCTCTCTCACTCTGTCCCTCATTACACATTCACACTCACCAAGTGAGATCATCTGAAAATGTTTCGGTGGCATTAATTCCATCCTCCTCTGCGTCAAATATTGCTGACTCAGAGTGAACCCAGGACTCTGGTGTCAGGTCTGAGGATCTCATGGTACACTCATGCTTTTAAGGGTTATCGTACAAGGTGAAGGAAATCAAAACACGCCATCCGCAAAAGAGACTTCTTTGGCATGTTTTCAGGTGGCTATTCAGAGGGGATGCAAACACAGAAACAGCTCTGCAAGCCTGTCCTTGGTAGGGGAGGTTTGCATCTGTAGAGGAAATCTGCGTCAGTGAAGTGATCGGCTGACTCAGACACACTTTCTCCAAGGCCCTCTTATCTGCCTTATTGCATGGAGGAAAGAGGAACTCCCAGGAGAAACAGACTGAAATCCTTGACAGATGAACTGTTACCACCGCCACCACTTTGTGGCTTATTACCAAAGCCACTGCTTTGCCAGTGGCTCCGAGATTACCTGAGAGATGTACGTCTGCATAACCAGATGGTCTGGGTGTCCCTTGCCGCCTCCCTCAGTCTCCCACGTCCTGTGCCTCCAACTCACCCCAAGGCCCTGTTCCTCCTGCAGCCTCAGGATGGTATAAAAACTTCCTTCATCTACCTGACCCTCCCTAGAGTCACATATTTGGAGGACTCTCCTGGCCATGTCCATGTCCAAATTCCCTTTGCACCTACAAGGGTATGTGCATTTGGCATGCCAGTAAGAAAAAGGGAAAGGAGAGTATAAATAACAGTCCTACACGTAGCAAACATTGCCCTGAAAATGGCAATGAAGCAACAGTGCACGGCCACAGGCCGATACTGAGATACTGGGGCCATTGCAGCCAAGTCTCTCATCTTCCTTCCCCCTTCCCTTCCACCCCAGTAGCAGCCACTGGGCAGCATCTGCTGGGCACAGTCCAAGGGTCAGTAGGGGCTGCTGGTCAGGGGAGTGGATGGGAAACTGTGTGTGAGTGTGTGTCTCAGCACATTAGGAGTTGTGTTGAGAAAAACTTTCCTTGTGTGAGTGTATTTACTTGTATAATAGCTACTTTATTTTTCTTAACTGTTCACCTTCTCAGGGTCTACAGGTGAATATGAATTATGAGCCTGTGCAGGGAGGTTTAGGAAGATTCCATCTATGTCTCATTTTCTCCTAAGAGTGAGGTGAACTATGTCATTGAAACCCAACATGAAGAGCTTCCTCCAGCAAACAGACCCCTTCTGAGGGACGCCTGGGCTGCAGTGGCCCCCAATTAATATAGCCAATATGCTGGCACTGCTGGAACATGTCCCTACATATGAGTGGAATCATTCCTCCATAAGAAGCACTGGATCAGGAGAGTCCCTGGGAAACACTGAGTGCATATAAGAAACATGTGTTGCAGTAGCATAATACATGTTTGCACAAAATATTGGTATTTACTCTAGATAAGCCTGTTTCTCTCAAGACACTTTTTAACCTTGTCACCACCCAACAATATCCTAGGACTTTCATAAAGCTCTCACCCATGTCTAATTCTGTACTCTGTTCTCTGATCCTGACTCTGCCTCTATCCAGATGCAGATTCAGAGAGAGACCTGCTCCTCCTCCTCTCCTTTGTCCCCTGAGGCTTTTCTACACAGCCCCACCCCTCCGCTTGGCATCTCTCCCAGGCAGTGGCTCTCAGAAAGTCACTCCTTTCTTGCATTTGATCCCTCACCAGGAGCCTTCACCTCGGAGGGAAGAGGACAGAGTTTGTGCTCCAGCTTCCTTGCTTCTTTCTGTCAGATTCTCCTTCTAATATTCCCGACTTGCAGGAGAGGAAGAGAAGCTACGTGGGCATCCACCCCTGCTTTGCTAGATGGTTTCTTTTCACTTAGAAGGAACATCACACTTCATTGTAAGAGAACAAATGGGGTCTGTCCTCTTCAGGAAAGCTTTTAGTGCAAGACAGTGATGAATATTGTGAGAGTACTATTAATACCCATTAGCAGTAAATTTACTGTGATTTGACATAGAAATTAGTCCCCTATATGTTCAATTCAACAGTTCTACCAACAGAATATGATGTGTATATGCATGAAATTTATCGCTGACGCATTATTGGGCTAAATCCAACCAAATGGTATAATAAAGTAATAGAATCAGGCAGTATTCTGACCTTAAAGCCAGAGGGACAGATTGAAAATTAGATAAATTACGATGCTGCGTTCCATGGTTTGCTCAGGGTGTGCCCAGGGTGCCCACATGGCACAGTGAAACAGTAATTAGAGCACCTAAGGCTTTTATCTGGCCGAAGTTCCTTGTTAGTTGAGAGCGTAATTTCACCAATGTGGCGTTTGAACAGCGGAGTATGAGCAGTAATGAAGCAAGGGCACACTGGAAGGGGGGTGGGGAGGCTCAGCCTCAAGGAGGTCACTGGAGACCCAAAGATGTGAGGCTGGAGCCCCTTCACTTAGGACAAGGAAGGAGATCATAGGCCACTGGAAACAGGCGGGAGGGGAGCAGGCTCTTCCAGAAAGAGACAACAGCTGAAACAAAGGCAGGAATATAGAAAATTATCCCTGATCTCAGACACATTTTTCTTGCCAAAAAGATTCAAGGAAACAGGACACAGAGATGGGAGGGCGCAAGGGGCCCTGATGCAGGGGAAACATGCAATGGCAGTAGGGGTGGCTGTTCCTAGGGCTTTTGGTTGCACCTGTACTTGGCACCAGGCATCCAACTTTCTTCAACAAATTCTTAGTAAGGTATTTTTTTAATGAGATTTCTGAGAAAATAGAAGGTGAGGAACTTAACTCAGGTCCTCTAGCAGAATTAGTGTTTACAAATGACCAGTCTCCTATAATTTTCTTCTTGTAAAGTAAGTCTGGTGTAATTATGAAGGATAAATTGGGCATTGTTAATTTTTCAACTTAGGAGTTGATTATGAGCAATGCTGAAGAGAAACTTCAAAGTCCTCTAGCATCCAAATATTTCTGTATGATTTTCCTCTCAGCTGTGCCTGCAGAGACATGGAAGAATCAGAGGAAACTCAATGGGCCCATTCATTTTTTAATCTTTGGCAGCTGTAATCTTAGCCCCGCCTACCTTGTGGTTGGTGGAAATATAGAGAGTGGGAGCTTTGTCTCCTCCTGGGCTCTCAGTGAGGACCGGGAAGGAAAGAGAGGCAGAGCAGCTGGGCTGTGGACAACGATGGATCGGAACCGCTGTCACTCCGTGAAGCTGAATGATGGACACTTCATGCCAGTGCTTGGATTAGGCACTTACGCCTCTGACGATGTAAGTGCACCCCAGGGGGCTGAAGGCTCCTGTGTTCATTGCCCTAAAGAGCTGTCCTCAGACAGGAGCCCTGCACCTGGTAGACAGTGGGTGCTTGGAAGGACTCACCGCTGCTTCTGTTCCCCATCTCTATCTTGCCTCCCTCCAGGTCACAGAGAACTTTTTGCACTCAGTGGGATGGCAAGTTGTTGAGTCTAGCGTGTCAGGGGTTGATAATTTCATGGGTGGATGATCCTTATTATTATTCTTATTAATGTTATGTAATATATATCCAATGCTTCCCATGTATGTTAAGTATTTTCCATGCATTACCTTATTTAATTCCTCATCAACTCTCTTAAGTAAGTACTTTCATTATTGTTTCCTGCATTGCATAGTCCTAAACTTGGGCTGTTGTTCTCTGCACTCCTCTGTCACCCTAACCATTGCTACTGTACTCTTAGTCAGAAACTCGAAGGGCAACGGGGCCAGGAGGGGTGTTGATGTGATCATGCAATACCAGTGAGTCTCACTTTCCTGCGAGTCTGTTGGGGCTGAAGTATTTGCCAGAGAATTTCAAACATGCAAACCTTTTGGCATGTAAGAGCCTTCTGTGATTTCAACCCTTAAGTGTTTAAAGAGGAGGTCACAGTGGGCATAAAGTTACAATAATGCCTGATTCTGCTTTTCACCAACTACATTATTCTGCATCCACACAGGTCACTGCAGTGAACTTAAAGTGTCACACTCTGGTCACGGTGATGTGGGGGAGCATTTGGGGTTGCTTTTGGAGGATTACACCCCTATGACAGAAAACAGTGTGTTCAATCGGTAGAACTGTGGCATGAAATATTAGTAGATAACAGCCGTCAGAAAAGGCCAGTTTGTTTTCAATGGTATAATCACTTGTTTTATATACTATGATAGCTTAAGCTATGTATGGTGTGTGCAAATACATATACTATATCTATAACAATATAACAGTATAACAGTATATGTATAACAATATAACAGTATAACAATACTGTTGTTAAAGACAGAAAAACTCCAGAGAATAGACCAAATTTCCCATTTGCCTTGATCCCCTCACTTGCAAGAGTAAAATTAATACACGCATGGACTTACAATTCGGATGGCACAAAAGGTCCGAAGTGAAATAGAAGCCTCTTTAAGACTCCAATCTGTGTTTTCCTGGTAAATATGACTCCCTTACACACCATCAGCAATTTACAGTGCATCCCTGCAGGAATGAGAAGCACATCCCACTGTTTGCTTCGTGCCTTTCTTTGTCTCACTACATCTGTTTTCTGGAAGCATGGAAATGCAGTATCTCAGATTTGGTGATTAGATCGTCCACCATTAGAAGTCTGAGGCAGACCGTGCATGTGTCATCGTCCTGACTTTGTCCACAGGCAATGCCAACTTGGTGAGGTGAGGTCTGTGTCCAGCTGTGCAGATGAGTGGCAATTGGCTCTCTGGGCTTCTGCTCTGCATCTGGCTGCTCTCAGTGTGTGTTTTCTGGGATCTGGCTCTGGTGTTCCCTTTTCAGACCTTGCACAAAAGTTCTGATACTGACCAAGGGACAGCCTTACATAACTGCCACATGTAAAACCAGCCCCCTGGTTGTAGATAATTTAGAGGCTGAGATGTCAGGCACACAGGAGGCAATTGAAAATGTTGCATAGATGATGAATGAGAGTACCTGGGTGTGAAGAATAAAAAGGAACCATGAATGACTTGAAGGGCCCAGTTGGGTGCAATCTGGAAAGGATGGATGTTATGGGCTAATGTCCAATTCTTAGCCAAAAATTGATGCTGTACTATGTGTGCATGTGTGTGTGTATGTGTGTGTGTGTGTGTGATGGTGTGGGTGTGTGGGTGCATGTGTGTGTGTGTGTGAGTGTGTGTATAGACCTGTCCTTTCTACTGAGTGCCATAGAATATCTTTCCCAGTATGGAAAGAAGTTTTCCTGTTAGCTATGCTCATACAACTGATTTGTATTGAATGAAACTTGGTTTTCCAGGCTCCAGGGTACAGCCCATTTCACTAATTCATTTCAATTTGAAGTTGTACTAGGGTTTAGTCAACATCCCCGGAGTACAGGTCTTATCACTGAAAACAGTACCATCAAGCAAGAAGCCAGGAGCCTGCAGACACCACTTGGTGGAAATGCTACTGAGAAAACACATTCCTTCACTCTTCTTACCTCTGTTTTATAGACTCCTAAGAGCAAGGCTGGTGGGGGAACCAAAGTGGCCATTGACGTGGGTTATCGACACATTGATGCGGCATACGCATATCAAAATGAGAAGGAGGTCGGAGAGGCCATTCGAGAGAAGATTGCGGATGGTACCGTGAAGAGAGAGGACATATTCTATACCACCAAGGTGAGCGTTCTGTGCAGGGAGTGACCAGACCCCATTGGATGTTCAGATATGGTATTTTTTAACAAGTGGGATCTCAGTTTAAATAATTTATTTCCTTCCTAATATTGTAAATGCACATTGGTTGAAACACAGAAAAGGTTTGCTTTGCTCTGAAATGTGTTAAAGGGGAAAGACAATTCTTCCATTTCTCTAAACATAAGACATTATTCGTATAAAATGAGAATAATGACACTTACCCTCTGGAACTGCTGTGTGGATTGAACAACCCACTGCATGTCTACTCCCTTGACTCCTCAGCAGATTCTCTAGGGACATATCAAGTGGGGGAGAGACATTACACACAAAAAGGAGCCAGGCTAGCAAATGCATTCCTTCTCAATTCAGCATTGAGTTTCCCGCACTTCCTACAGTTTTCCTAGGTAGAAAACCATGCTTCCGCTGCAAAGAGAGCTTAGGTCTCTACTGGTGAATGCTGTGTAGGGTTACATCAATGACAACTTAGTTATGGGATGTGATCTCTCAGCAGAATTGTTTAAGGAATTTATTACACAGACAGGGGATTCCATGCCCCTGTCCTGCTATGTTTTGACTCCTCTCAGGGGCCAACTCCTCTAACCCTCAACATTTGGGGTTGTTCTTCCTGCCCCATCTAAGTTTTCTTCATAGATTTCACATTGTACTAGCTCAGGTGGATCTCAGTATTCCATCTGAGACCTGATTTACACTGAGTAAAAAATGTAGCCCAGCTCTTCTTAATTTCAGACCACCACAGTGGTTTGTTACTCACTTCTCAATTTTTTAGTGTGATGTTTAATTTTAGTCCCCAAATATGAGAAATCTTAAGCCACTTTGATTTCTTTTTCTCACTGCAGCTTTGGCCTACTTTCTTTCGACCAGAATTGGTTCAATCTGCACTGGAAATATCTCTGAAGAAACTTCAACTGGACTATGTGGATCTCTTCATTATGCATGCACCATGTGCTATGAAGGTCAGCTCGTCATTTTCCTTGTGATGTCCATGGCTGTGCCCTCACTGTTACTAGCACCTCCAATTATCTCATTGCAGCTTGGTTTACTGGGTTCTTGCTGAGAGAGGGAGGTTTCAGTGAGGTGCACAGAACTGCTAAATGGTTTATGAGTCTCTTTGGCAGTTGTGTAACTCCACCCTCAAGTCTGTTTTTTATCTCATTCTCCAGCCTTCAGAGGAATTGAAGTTTGATGATCTCACTGCCCCTAACTTGGAGAGTTAAAGGCATTGCCCTAGAGTTCTGAGTGAAGGTGCTCCTGTCTGGGTGCCCTTAGTGATCAGGGTACTCAAGAGTGTTGAGTTACTCCAGACTGCAGAGATTCATGGGAATCCCCATCTTGCTAGGAGAAAGGTCTCTCCCGTGTTTGCCTCTTAGTCCAGAGAGGACAGAGCTACCTGGGCTGGCACATACTGCACAATGGGACCCCTTTGGAGTCCCCTGACCTGACCTCCCCTCACAGTGGATGTTTGCTAAGCAGGGCAAATGTCCTCACTGTCTCAGAGTTGGTTTATCATTAACTGGAGCTAAACACATTGGTTAATAGTTATGGTAAGTCTTATCCTCCAAACCAGCCTGACCTTGGAAATGAAATAAGTTCCAACTGCAGAAGACTTCATTCTTCCTAAAGTGGAGGGCTATGTGGGGTAGGAGAGTGGTGGTCATTGGGGGGAGTCTTTTGCTGCAGTCTCTGAGACGATTCTGATCTTCCTTTTCCCCCATGTCTTCCCTTCTTCACACACATCCACACTGACAAGCACTCTCACATACACCAATGCACACACACGTGTGCAAACTGGTGCACACACACTGATATACACACATGTGCACACTCAGACTAATAATCACAGCCTCCTGAAGGTTGTGTGGCCAAGTTCCTTAGGTCTCACAAAGGTGATTCTTAGAGAAAATGTTCTTCTTTATCCTCTGTTCTCTCTGTATCCAGCCTGGGGAGGAAATACTGCCAACGGACGAAAGTGGGAAAATCATTTTAGACACTGTGGACATTCGTGACACATGGGAGGTAGGTGCTACTGCAGACCCAGCAGGCATGGTGTGGTGAGGGAGGAATGACTGGAGGGGAGCCAGAGGAGAGGGGGTTTTGCTCCAGCCATTGCCTGGCCTCAGGACATGAACTTTGTGTTCTCAAGTGCAAAGTGAAAGAGGTCTAAGGTCTATTTTTAATTTCAACGTCTATTAATATTTACCCCTGAGATCAGGTTGAGGATGTGAGCCCTATTAAAGGATAAGCAGAAAGAAAGCACAAAAGGAGTTTCATGCACTCTATCTCAGGACAGATAAACACACCACAGAGGGAGGGGAAAGCTATGGCCTGACTTAGCCAAAGAGAGGACTGTACACAAAGGAGAGTGACCTGCCCTGACAGAGCCCACCTCATAGGTTTTTTATTTTTATTTTAGTTTATTCTAAAATAGAAGAAGCATCAAACCCTCTACTAGCAAAATCTGAGGGTTTCTTTTGCCTTTGGCTATGATGTGATTAAAGAACTGTTGCTTGCCTAACAGCAAAATAGGTAGCATTGAAGGGAGGTAGGTGTGGGGGAATTTAAAAGCATCTTCACGTCCATTTGTTCTCCTGTGTGTGCATGAAATAGAATCAAGGAGGCAAATATATATGCACAGCAAGGAAGTGTAGTATGACATACATGTTCAAGTGATAAATGTGGTGAATTCAGCCTAATATTCTATATGTTAAACCATATTTCCAGTTGTTAAAAAGTGCAACGACTGGCCTGGTGACTCACGCCTGTAATCCTAGCACTCTGGGAGGCTGAGGTGGGCGGATTGCTCGAGGTCAGGAGTTCGAAAACAGCCTGAGCAAGAGTGAGACCCTATCTCTACTATAAATAGAAAGAAATTAATTGGCCAACTAAAAATATATATACAAAAAATTAGCCAGGCATGGTGGCCCATGCCTGTAGTCCCAGCTACTTGGGAGGCTGAGGCAGTAGGATCGCTTGAGCCCAGGAGATTGAGGTTGCTGTGAGCTAGGCTGATGCCATGGCACTCACTCTAGCCTGGGCAACAAAGTGAGACTCTGTCTCAAAAAACAAAAAGAAAAAAAGTGCAACAACCAACGAAAAGAGCAAACTCAGCTAAAGTTCTACCACACCTTTCTTTCCTCCCAGGCCCTGGAGAAGTGTAAAGACTTGGGTTTAGCCAAGTCCATCGGAGTGTCCAATTTCAATCACAAGCAACTGGAGATGATTCTGAACAAACCAGGGCTCAAGTACAAGCCCGTCTGCAACCAGGTGCGCCTGATGGTTCCTTTTCCTGAAATAGGAAATTCCAGGGAAGGAGCAGGTTGAATGCAGTGGTGAGAGCATGATTTCAATTACCCAGAGGTGGGTTGGTAGTTGCTGTGAGACAGCCAGGTTCAGATGCTGGGTTGGCAGATGGCAGCACTGGTCTGGAGCCCTGGAGGTGGTCCAGGCTGAAGATGCAGATGTTTGGGGGTGTTGCTTCATGGATGGTAATAAAAGTCACAGAAATGGATTAACTCTCCCAGAGATCGTTCATAGAATGAAACGGGAGGGCAGGAAAGTCCACGTGTTAGGATCAGGCAAAGAGGCTCTGACTGGCAGGACACTGAACAGGAGTCTCTAGACAGGTGGAGAGAAGGTGAGGAGAGTGCAGTCTTAGGAAGTCAAAGAAAGAGGGTAAAAGGGTTTGTGTCAGACGTGGGTGGGTCCTGCTGAGAAGCCTGATTTCCAATAGGGATAGGAAACAGTTGTTGCACTTAGTGGCCTGAAGTTTATGGGAAACCAAGCAGGACAGTTCCAGAGAGGTGAGAGCTAAAGCCAGAGCAGGGGAGGGGAGTGGAGACTGAAGAAGTGGATCATGCATAACTAAAGCAAGTAAATTTTAAAGAAACTCCCAACCCTGCCAAATATCAAATACTGCTTCTGGCATTGTAAAGTTTAATGCCTTTTGAAGAACATTTTGTCAATTATACAAAAACTATTCAAATATTAATAACTTATGTCCTAATTATTTCTAGGGATCTCTTTGCAGAAAATCAAAATATGTACAAAAATAACCAGACTACTTTAAGCACAATTTTATTTCTATTCCAAAATCATTAGAATTTTACCTGCCTAACAATAGGAAGTGATTACATTTATGGTGGCTTCACGGAGATCTATGCTGGAATATTATAAAGACTAACAGCAAAAAGGAAAAGCTTATGCGATCATATTACAGACACAGCATACAGGATAATTACTTGCTACTCTGTCAGCTAGGATGCTTTCAAACTGTGAGAAACAGAAAACCAAATTCAAACTGGCTTGAAATTTAAAGAAATCAATTCACATACAGAAGGTTTGGGGTTTGGCTATTCTAGAAGCTGGGAGAGACTTTCTCGAAAGGAAGGTGTTTTCTCCGTGCTGCTTCCTGGTGGCTGCTGCAGGGCGGGTCCCCACAGGCAGCTGGGCTCAACGTCTCCCTGTTCACATTCAGCCGAAGGGAGCGTGTTCTGGGGCTGTTTCTAAAGGTGGAGGAAGAATTTTTGCACTTGTCTAGCACATTTCTCCTCATGTGTCTTTGGCTTGTGCCTTTCCTAAACCAATCAGAGACAGAGAAAGCACGACCACGTCACCAATTCATGGGTGGGCTTCTCTGGGGACACAGAGGCTAAGTAGGGAGGAATAATTAGACAAAATCAGGGTTATTATGAGGAATAATGTTAATCAAAAACACTCACTATATATGCCATATTTGAAATTATATAATCTTAAATCTTAAAAACAAAATAATGACTAAAATTAAGCATACCAAAATGATTACAGTTGCTGTCTGATTCTGGTGGGATTCTAGGTGACTTTGTAGTGTTTTTCCTAATTTAACATGAAAATATTTACTTTATAACTTCTAAAAGATTTTGCAATTGTAAACATTTCAAACTCTAAAAAGGTACAGAGAGTACTCTAAAGTCCTTCTTCTCTTCTCATATACCCATGCCCGCTCTTAGGCAATGATGACCTCACATCCAAACCTGTCCCTAAGAGGCACTAACTTGCAGGACACTGAACAGTGTGTGCTCCTACCTCTGGACTATTTTGAACCAGGCTTTCTCTCATTTATCCTGTAATATTTCAGCATATGTTTTTAAATGTATGAATCTTTAAACAAACAGAATTCCATTATGCCACCTAAAAATTTACCAATGAATTCTTGATATCATTAAATATCACAAGTGTTAAAATGTGATTATGTCACATTTTTATAGTTGATTCATTTCAGTGGTGATTGAAATAGGGTCCATACTTCGCAAGTGGGTGATATGTCTCTTAAATCTCTTTTAATCAATAGATTCACTTTCTTCCTCTGTCTCTTCTCTCCTCCCCCTTCACCTCTAACTTTCCTCCTCTTCCTCCATCACTCTAGCTCTCCCTCTCCCTCATTGTCTTCTTCAGTTTATTTATGAGAGAAATTAAGCCATTTGTCCCATAAAGATTCCCACACAGTGGGTTTTGCTAATGGATCCCTATGATGTGGTTTGACATGATGCTCTTGTACATCCTGAAAATTGAAGGTTATAGCTAAAGACTTGATCCCATGTGATCAATGCTATGTGAATTCATGAATTTTCACAAATATGCCATGTTATCATCCATTATAGTTACTAATCTTGTTGATGCTCAAACGACACAGAGTTGGCCATATGGATGGAGCCTGTTCCAGTGAGTTCCTAGGCCTTGGCTGGCCTCATTATCTTTCTCATCTTCTTTGCTTTCTCGAGTGAAAATTCTTGTAGGTTCAGCTTGTAACTTTCCCACTCAGAACTGGAATTGGCTATTTCTCTGAGGAATCTTTTTTCATAGAGTAACAAATGGCATTTGATAGCTACAATTTTAGCAGAAGGGATTACAATCAGTTTACAATTCTAATAGAAAAATGATAAGAAGAAAACTCTTATATCACTTCACAACTGATGGTATTGAAAGATATTAATATTTCAGAAGGTGATGAGAAAATTGACCAATGTGAAAAATACAGTACTTATGATAATTCAGTGTGATAATTGATATTCCTCCAAAGCATTTTTTAAATTGACATGTGGTTATTGGCTTATGTATTCTGATATCTTTTCTTCTTGGAAAATTACAGGTGGAATGTCATCCTTATCTCAACCAGAGCAAACTCCTGGAGTTCTGCAAGTCCAAGGACATTGTTCTAGTTGCCTACAGTGCGCTGGGATCTAACAGAGACCCAAAGTGGTAAGAAGATATCAGAGTTAACCCATATCAGCAACTCTGTTGAGGATGAAACATTCTTTTTAAAACAAAATTTTAACACTTTATTATGGAAAAGTTCAAATACCAAAAATTAAACACAACATGATAGTGAGTTCCCATGTACTGTCCTTGAGTTTCAATGTCACCAACATTCTGTCCCTCTGGTTTCATCTGTATGTCTACCAACTCCCAACCCCTCTCAAATACAATTATTTCAGGTGATTTTCAGGAAAATTTACATAAAGTATGATACATGTATCTTAGGTTTACAGTTTTGACAAAACGATATACTTTGTAACCCACATCCCTAACATGACACAGAAACATTCTGTCTCCCAAAATGTTCTTTTTTGTGTTCCTTCTGAGACAATTCCTCTGTACCTCTAGGGAACTACTTTTCCAATTCGTTTTTCATTTTAGATGAATTCTGTCTGTCCCAGTACTTCATGTGAAAGACATCCTATCTATTCCTTTGTGTCTGGCTACTTTTGCATCATGTCTGTCAGATCCATCCATGCATTAATAGCTGCCACTATTGGTAGGTCTTTCCATTTTATTGCTGGGTAACATTCTATTATATGGACAGACATATCACAGGTTTTTATCCATTCATGTGCTGATGTACAATTTAGTTGTTTCCAGATTCCTTTGCCTTCAAAGTCTAGTCCAAAAAAAAAAAGAAAGAAAAAAGAAAAGAAAAACAGATTCCTGCAATTATGAGTGAATCTCTATGAATATTTATGGGACTCTTTTTATTCATACTGTATCATATCTACTCCCAATTCTCTGGGGAATTTGGGAAAAACGGGCATCACACTCTCAATTTACCACCCTAAATTCTTCACATTCTGTATTGTTGTGTTTTTTTTTTTTCAGGGTGGACAGTGACAGCCCATTTCTCTTGGAGGAGCCAGTCTTGAAAGCCATTGCCAAGAAACATAATCGAAGCCCAGCCCAGGTGGCCCTGCGCTATCAGCTGCAGCGGGGAGTGGTGGTCCTGGCCAAGAGCTTCTGTGATAAGAGACTCAAAGAGAATATCCAGGTACAGGTCCAGGGAGAGCCAGGGGAGCTATATTGGGTGGTCTTTCCTGCAGGGGCACATGCACCACGTCTCACTCCTTCGCATGCATCCCCCTGTGTGCTACAGGAGCGGGCAGCATGGAAGGGCAGGAAGAGAGAGCTCTGGACTCAGCGTCCTCAGGTTATCCCCTCTAGGCCTGGCTTTGCCCCTTACTAGTTGTGTCACAAAGCAAATTTCCACTCCACTATTTTCATCAGTTCTAGGAATTCTTCTATCAATATATAGTAATGAACTTTAGGCACCCTGGTTCCTCTCTTTCACCTTCTCTACCTAACATACCCTTATTTGTATTTTAAGTTCAAACCCAAATAAATTTAGCTGCTCTCTTAAACAACTGGGAGACCCTAGCACATTTAATGATCACCATGGTACTAGGCATGGCTCCATCAGTGAGTTTTTTCCTCATTAACTTACCATTGTTGGCTTACATGTCAGTGTGCTCTCTCGAATGTGAGACCCTGAAGGGAGTGACCCCCTCTGTGTCATGTATGACCACCTTTTCTCTGTGCTCTTGGCAAGTAGGATGCTGTATATATGCTTTTAGACTCACCAAATTAACTAGCCAATAAGTAAAGTTACTACCCTTCCCCATATACACTCTGCCCCCTTAGATCAATCAATGTGCTTCAACTTACTTTCTTTTGAATGTTAAAATAATTTTGAAAGACTATGTTAGCTGTTTCCCATATTAAGATGACAGCTAGAAACTTCATCATAAGTTTAATATTTTTTAAAAAGTGATATTTGAAACCTATTGTTTATAATGTATTTGCTTCAAAATGTAGCTATAGATTAAGTTTATTGGTTTATGGAAAAATCAAGTAGGTAAATTTAAATTTCATTATTAATCCATACAGAAAAATATCTTATTTTTTCTTGTGTTACTTTTTAATTTAATTCAACATATTAATAGATGCCCCCATGACAAGCATACTACTTCTGGAGTATATTTTCAAAAAGAATAACAGGTAAACTGATGATTGGATGGATAATGGAAAGATAGATATATAGAGAGAGCAAAATATATTAAATAGGTAGATAGTTAAATAGTGTCCTAAGTTTTTGATGAAATTGTCTCCTGCAGGAAAGAATAAAATTAATACTTTTTGACAACGTTCTCTCTGTTTTGCTATTAAGAGACTCTCCACCAGGGGCTATGTCTTGTCAAAAGAAAACAAATCTGACACTCAAGAGATTTATTCAAAAGGGGGAACTCTTTGAACAGGAGATCTGTATGTCACAAAGACCAGTGAGAAAGGGTCTTCTGTAGGGAAGAGTAAACACAGCTGGAAATAAGCAAGTGGTGTGGTGAAACAGTCAGTCAGGGAATGCTTTTCCTTGAGGCCAACAGGTGCTTGGAGAGAAGTTGTCCCATGTCCCAAGGCTTGCTCCTGCCAAGGCTGGGTCAAGTTCCAGGGGGCGTGAGGAAGAAAACAACTGACAACCTTTGTTCAAGTCAAGGCAGCAGGCATTTTGCCCAGATCATTCTCGTGTTTGGAAATAAATGATTTTTTTTTTTTTTTTTTTTTTTTTTTTTTTTTGTCTCCAGCAGTTCTCTTGGCAGAATTACAGATTGATGAGTTGTGTCTCTTTATTTTGTGCAGGGGAGCAGAGCAGGAGGGGCTGGGAGGAGAGGGCAGATCTCACGCAAAATGTGCCTCAGGTCATGTGTACCAGAGGCTGATGACGAGGAAATGCGTGCCTTGATGGCCTCCTGCCTCTGCCCCCTGGACTGTCCTCCCTGGGCACAGGTCAATGTGAGTCTCTCCACCCTTTCAGGTGTTTGATTTTGAATTGACTCCAGAGGACATGAAAGCCATAGATGGCCTCAACAGAAATTTCCGATACGCTAGATTCCAATTGTAAGTGACTATTTCAGATTTTTTTCTATATCATGCAGGTCCACAGAGGAACAAGCTTCCGTAAATCAGAAAATCAGGCCTGATTTTGGGTGTAAGGGTGAAACGTGAGCTTCCCTGTAGCCCCCAGACCAGAGGTTTCCTCCAGGGCTCAGTATCTGCCCCACAGAAGTGTGAGTCTGAGAACCTGCCAAAGTTTGCACCTGAGTGTCTAGTTCTTGGTGCCCTCGGTACCTCTGCCTGGGGTCCTGAACCCAGGGCCACTGCCCCTTAAACTGGGAGCCATGGTGCCTACTTCCCACGATGCTTTTAAGGGCCCACAAGAATGTTGTGTCTTTAATTTATGTTAAAATCAGAGGGAAAATTAGTAAAGTAATAATGACTGTGTAATAATGAATCCAACCTGGCCCATCCTTCTCTCTGTGCCAAGGCTACATGGACTATGATTCTGACATTTGTGGGGGGGAGGGGCCCAAGGAGGGCCAGTGTGCCCAGGGCCCAGGGCAGTCACAGGGACCCCCGCTTCTCTCCTCCCCTTGGCGTCCAGCGGCATTTCTCCTTGATGTGGCATCCCTCCCTGGCACACCACCCATTTCTTCCAATTTCTCTCTTCCTCGGCTTTCCTTACCCATCACGACTCCATTTCCTGAGCTGTGTCATCTCACCAAGCTGCACTGTAAATGGATCGTGACATTAATCAGCCTTCCAGTGTCAGTAACTTGGTGCATCTCCAGTAGTCACATTGTGCAGGTCTGGTTACTAGAGATACCTCTTGTATCCCCCATAATTAAAAGTTCTTCACTGGAGGGGCCCTGTGTCATCGAGGGTGCCCAGCACTTGGGTGTTGAGTGAATGAGTGGAAAAGAGCCACACGATTCTGACTACCACTATCCCCCAATCTCAGGACAATGGGTGGTCTGGGGCTGGATTGACTTCAACTTCAGCTATGCTTCTTTTCCCTCTTAGAATTTATAATCTAAATCAAATTGTGCATCACACTGGAACTTACATGCATGGGAATGTGGGACTTGGGCATGTATGTGGAGTTTGCCCATGAACAGGGAGCTTGGGTGTGGGAGTTTCTGGGTACAAAAAGGGGAGGGCCGTGGCTGGAATTCAGGTGTTACCCCATCCTAACTGAATCTTCAGAGAAGCCCTCTCTTTGACAGCATGGAGAAAGAGTTAATATATGAATTTCCTTTCTTCTCTTTCAGTGTTGCTAATCACCCTAATTATCCATTTTCAGAAGAATATTGACTGTGAGCTATCAAATATCACCACCAGAAGTTCCTGCTTCTAGGATGTGTGAAGAGGATGTCTGTAGTTGGTGGAGGAGATTAGGAAGTAATGTCTGTAGTTTCAGGTTGCTTTCCTTTCATTTTTTCATTTATGAAATAACAAAGATTTCAAAATCAGGTTGTTTGTTTTTCCTGATTATTAAAATAATAACATATAAATTACCAAAAAAACCTTAGAAAATAAAAAAGAAAGGCTAGAGAACAAGTGCCCATCAATACATGACTGGATTAGTAAAATGTGGTATATGTATAACATGGAATACTACTCAACTACAAAAAACAATGGTGAACTAGCACCTCTTATATTATCCCGAGTAGAGCTTGAGCCCATCCTTCAAAGTGAGTATCACAAGAATGGAAAAACAAGCAACAAATGTACTCACCATCAAATTGGTACTAACTGATCAACAGTAAGGTGCTCACATGGTAGCGATATTCACTGGGTGCCGTTCAGGTGGGAGCGACGTGGCGGGTTGGGTAAACTCACAACTAATGGATTTGGAGCGCACTGTATGGGGGAAGGGCACACTTGTAGCCCTGTCTGGGGCGAGGTAAAGGCATTTTTTATATGTAACCAAAATGTTTGTACCTCCATAATATTCTGAAATAAACAAAAACAACCTATAGTTCTCCAATTCAAAAATATTTAATATTTGTTGCATTTTTCTTCATGATTTTCCTATGCAAAGGTATGTGCTTGTTTTTGTGGGTGTTTCTGTAAACTTGAAGTCATTTTCAGCATGTAGGTTATATGTTTTTTGTAAGTATTTTTCCAAACTATCAAATATTATTCAAAAATCCCTGAACTATATTTTACTCATTGTAAAGCAGTGTATATTATTAATTAATTTAGTTTCTTAATCATCTACCTATATTTTGGCATTTTTATGAGTTCTTGCATATTATGCCATTCATTCATTTATTCATTCAACAAAACTTTATTAAACATTCATGGTATGCCACACATTATCAATATGTAAAATAAGCAAAAGTGAGATGAAAATTAAAAATGTCTTGAAGTTATGGTCTAGTAGGAGAAGTAGACTATGACTGAGATAAATACTGTAAGAAGCATGTAGCTGTTAGACATTAGCGCGTGCCTATTGGGAGATCGTTCTGCATGGTCTTTCACATTTCTGCACATTTCATAAGCAGGGCAGGGCCTGCCCTTCATTCCTCACTATCTTTTCAAGAAATGTATGTAGTTAACAGCTTTGGCATATAGAGGTAGTAGCTGCCTCCAAGAAATGGAAAGAATGTTTACTGTCGAAAGAAAGAAAGAAAGAAAGAAAGAAAGAAAGAAAGAAAGAAAGAAAGAAAGGCCTCTCTCCAATCAAATGGCAGCTGGAGGGTCCATGGGAAAACTTGCCCTTTCCCCTCTGAAGGTTTGCTGAAGAGCCAAGTGACTGAGGCAGATTAATAAGAAAGAAGGTATACAAATTTATTAGCACGCACAGGGAGAGTCGCAGAGTGATTGTTATCTCAACACTCCAGTGGGGCTCAGAAGCTTATATATTTTCTTGAAACTACAGAAATAATAGAAGCTTGGAGTGTTCCCAAACATGTGTGGTGGTGGTAATTCAGGTTATAGTAGCAAGGCAGGTTTTGGCAGAAGAGCAGAGAATTTGTAGCTGGCAATGGTGGTCTCCTTAGGTGGATGAAACCTCACAGGTCGCAGCCCTCAGAAAGAATAGAAGATGAACGTTTCTTTAAGACCTTCCAAAGTTTCAGACTCTCAGGTAATCTTTCCTACACTGGACAAGAGCAGACCACAGAGAAAGCCTGGCTACATCGATGTAGATTTTCTCTACAGAGGAAAATATCCCCCACAAAAGACAGTTTTAAGCTTATCCTGTAATTCCAGCCCTTCAGAATAGCCATCTTGAAATATGTCAAAGAAGTATATCTAGAGGTGAAATATTTTTGTTCTCATGTTCACTGTCAATTAGAAAGAGTTGGGTTCCCTCCACCCAAGTTTATTCTCCTGTAACTGGACACACTAAATGTGCAGGCAACACTGGGCCCCTTCCCTACATCCTCTGGAAACAGTAGCTCAAAAAACCTGCACAAAAATGCTGATACTTTGGCTACAGATACTGTCATGTGTAGTAAACTGTTCTTCCCTGATTGAGGAGTTTCATGACTTCTACCAACATACATGAAATAAGCTAATTTGTTAGCTGGCAAGTCAAGTTAAAATCTGAGCTCTTTCATGATTCTTGACTTGAAGAAAATTAAAGCAGGGAGGGGTAATAGGTAGTAGGGTGGGGATTTGGACTGTTAGGTGATATTTTAGATAGGAAAGCCAGAAAAGGGTTCACTGAGAAAGAGACCCTTGAGCAAAAGCTTGAGTGAGTTATTTGGATATGGGGCAAGGGAAGAATATTCCAGGCACATGGGACAGAAAGTGCTAAGGCTATGAAGAAAGTGTGTTCCTACAACACCTAAACGACAGCTGTTAGGCTGATGTGGTAGAGTTTTGTGAACAAGGGAAATGGTAGCAGAAGATGAAGTCCAAAACAGCAGTGAGAGACTCTATCACGTAGGCTTTCGAAAGTACTTTCACTTTTATCCTGAGAAAAATAGAGAACAGTCAGTTCTGAGCAGAGAAGTGACATGAGCTGACCTGTTTTAAAAGGATAACTCTAGATGCTCTGGTAGGATCATATTATTGGAAAAAAGATAAATAGCATCTCTTAGGATTCTATACAAAAATGCAGGTGAGAAATGGTGTTGACTTGGACCATAGTATGAGCAGTAAAGATGGTCAACCTTCATGGGAATACGGATATTTTTATAGGTAGGGTAAACAAGGATTCCTAGCATATTGGCAGTAGGGTGAGAAGGGAAAAAGTTGACTCCAGACATTTGGGTTCTGCAACTATTAGGAAGTAGATATCATTGGCTGAGATGAAGAGGACACAGGAGAAGCAAGTTTTTGTGGGAAGATCATGAGATCATCTTAGACCTGTTATGTTTGAGATGCCCACTGTGTATCCAAGTGGAGAGGCCATGTAGACAGTTGGGCACATAAGTCTAGGGTTACTGGAAAGGTATAGGCCAAAGGTACATACCTGGGATTTGTCAGAAAATAGTTGCCACCGGAAGCCATGAAATGAGATGATCAGAGATTAGATTTGATGAGTGAGTGAATACCGACAGAGGAGAAACAAGATGAGGCCTTCTGTCATTAAGAGGCTGGTACAAAAAGAGATGAACCAGGCAAGAAGGCTGAAGTGTGGCTACTAAAGTAAAGGGAAAGTGGGAGATTTTTCTGTCCTGGAAGCCAAATGGAGAACATGTCTTAAGGAGAAAAGAGTCAAATTCTACTAATAAGACAAGTAATATAGGACTCAAAATTAACCATTGGAATTGTCAATTGACCTTAATGAGATCAAGAACAGTTCTGACAGCCTGGTGGAGGCAAGAGCCTGAATGGAATGGGTCCAAGAGTGTGGAAAGAGAGCAATTAGAGACAGAAGTGTAGAAAACTCTCAAGTAATTGGCTCCAAAGGGGACCAGACAATTGAGCAGTCACTGAAGAGAAAAATGGAGTCAAGTGAGGGTATTTTTGTGATGGAAGAAATACCAGCATAGCTGTGTGCTCTTAGGAACAATCTATCAGGGACAGAAAAATGGACAATAGAGGAGAGAGGATGAGAATGGTGGAACCACATCTGAATTAGTTTCCTATTGCTGCTGTGACACATTCCTGAAATGCTATGGCTTGAAATAACACAAGTATATTTTCTTACAACTCTAGAGATGAGAAGTCCAAAGTCAGGCTTAGTGGACAAAAATCAAGGTGTCAGCAGGCCTGCATTTCTTCTTGAAGTCCAGGGGATAATCCATGTCCTCACCTTCTTCAACTGCCATAGAATGCAATCCTTGGCTCACGGGTCCTTCCTCCATCCTCAAGGCCAACTGCGTAGCCTCCTTCACCCTCTGACCTGTGTTTTCTGTCCTTACATCTCATCTTTCACTGTGACCCTCCTGGGTCCAACCTTGTGGACTTCGTGACTACATCAGCCTACTCAGATAATTTAGGGAAATCTGTCCATCTTGTAATTGTTAACTTAATTACAACTGTGAAGTTCCTTTTGCCAGATAAGTTAACATAGTCACAGGTTCCAGGGATCTGGGAATGCATGTCTTTGGGGGGCAATACTCAGCCTACTGTATGAGCTTTATGGTGAATTTGGGGTAACTCCACCTTAGTTTCCTCATCTTTCTGATAGGAATGGTTATATCAGCAATGGTAGATACTGAGACTCTAGACTTTCATCTTGGATGTCAAGTGGGAACCACCCAACTATAAACCTGTTTCTTTAAGGCTGATATCTTCTTGACCCTACCTATTATATTTCCCAATTTTTTTTTTTTTTTTTGTCTCGCTTTGTTGTCCAGGCTAGAGTGGGTGCCGTGGCGTCAGCCTAGCTCACAGCAACCTCAAACTCCTGGGCTCGAGCGATCCTTCTGCCTCAGCCTCCCGAGTAGCTGGGACTACAGGCATGCGCCACCATGCCCGGCTAATTTTTTTTTTTTTATATACATATCAGTTGGCCAATTAATTTCTTTCTATTTATAGTAGAGACGGGGTCTCGCTCTTGCTCAGGCTGGTTTTGAACTCCTGACCTTGAGCAATCCGCCCGCCTCAGCCTCCCAGAGAGCTAGGATTACAGGCGTGAGCCACCGCGCCCGGCTATTTCCCAATTTTTGATACACTCTCTTCATTCTTCAAGTTTAAAATTTCTTCCCAGGATCTGTTGCCATCATCTTTCATTATTCATACAAACATCTCAAGCTTGACAGTTTTTTGACATTCTCAATGCCTTTGACATTCTACTCATGCCTAGACTATATTTCAGGCAACTACTTGTGTAGTAAACCTGTGTTTACTACTTATAACTGCTTCCTCTATGAAACCTTCACTTTGACACATTTCATACTAACCAAGACTCTCATTCTGCAGTTCCTCTATTTGTCAAGTTTTTTATTCATTCAGAGTTGTAATCATTGGGTCTCTCCACTTTCCTCTTTTCATTATTTCAGTCCCCATACAAGTTCACATATTCAAATTAGGTTAAACAGTAAGTTCACTTCAAACTTATTATACCCATTCATTCTCTCTACATTTCTTTTCTAAACAGATCTGCTGCTGAGTGACTTTGCTTTTTGGCATTTTGATTGTAATGTATGTTGGTGTGGGTCTCTTTGACTATATCCTATTTGCAGTTTTATAAGTTTCTTGTATCTGTAGATTCAATCTCTTTCACCATAGTTCATCTCTTTCACCATAGTTAGGAAGTGTTTGATGATTTTTTTCTCCAAAGAATCTCTCCTCCTTTATCCCTCTAAGACTTTAATACACTACAAACTGGTTTGTGTGTATATTGGTTAATGTCCCATAAATTCCTTAGGTCTGTTCACATTTCTTAATTTTTTTTCTCTTTAAACTCAATAATTTCAAATGTTCTGGCCTCAAGTATATTGATTCTTTCTTTTTCCTGATGAAATTTGCTATTGAAATTTTTAGTGAATTTTTCTATTCAGTTGTCTTTTTCAGCTCTAGAATTTGTTTGGTTTCTCATTATAATTTCTATAACATTATTGATATAATCATGTTCTTCATCTATGATTTTTCTGAATTTCTTTAGTCCTTTGTCCATATTTTCTTCAGCAATTTTATTATATTTTAGATAGTTTTTTAAAGTCTTTTTCTACTAAGATCAATGATTGTGTTTCTTCAGGAATGGTTTCTGCTGATTTATTTCCTTCCTTATAATGGTCCGTGTTTTCCTGTTTCTTTGTATGACCTTTGATTTTTTTCAAATTGATCATTTGAAAATTAGATATCTCTCCTGCTCTATGTAGATTTGTTCTGCTTCATGATAGTCATTAACTTACATGCTTGGCATGTTCTTAGTCTTGGAGTCAGCCCAACATTAAAACTTAAGGTCTTCTCAATTCTTTTGTAAACATTCTTCCTGCCTGTACTTTGTGTGCCATTTTTGTTTCCCATAAATACACTAGTGCTTTTGAATACTTTAATATTTCAAACACTGCAATCCTAGCTTCTCTTCAGTCCCCTTGGTGGTCTAGTATATATCTCTATCCCTAATCTCTTTTCCTTGGCATCTGTGAATCTATAGTCTCCCTGTGTCTCCAATGAGCCACTTCATAAATAAATAATTACATTTTGTCCAATTTCAGGTTGTTTCTGGATGTTTCCATAAGATATTTGGATCTTCCTAATGCATCATCTTGCTGATATGATATCACTCTATGTTCAAATTTTCAATGGCTTCCTAATATTTTATTGTATCACTATATAATAATTTTACCTATTTGCCACTTTATTTTGCTTTGTTTTTTCAGGAAGAACTAGATAGAAGGAATCAGGTATTTCAAACCCTGATTTCAAGAGACAGTAATCATCTGTCATCAGCCTCCAATCATAATGTTCTAGTCTGCCCTCCAAAAGGGGGACAGGGAAGGATTTTCCCATGTGAGTATCATTCAGCAGTGGATTATTATTTGTTTCCATGTTTTTATTTTTTATAAGTTTTAAGAAGATGATAAATTATATAAAATAGTAATGAGTTTTTATAGTAATTACCTTATGATAGTTTCTTATAAAACTGGGTGGAAGATATAAACACTATGTTTAAAAATACAATGAGTGGTGATAAGCCACTATCTGCATATTACAAATGACATCCAAGGTCCAAAAACTGTTAATGATTAATACTCAGTAAACACCATATCAGAATATTATTTTGTGCATCCTTATCAGGACTTCAACTTCATCAGAACTGAACCTTTGTCATCAATAGGTACTGTTCTTACTATTTGTTCAGCAAATTTATCATAATTTTTGAAAGTATTGATTTTAGATAGAAAAAATTATCTCATCAAGAAATTAATCATTATATTATTAATGACTATGAAATGATTTTCTTGTGAATTCTCTTTGATAAGAAATATGTTAATTACTTTTAATTTTCTTTCCACTCTATGTAACACAGCATCACCTCCTTCCTTCTACAGGCCAGTGGTTAATGCTTGGGCGGTGTGCACTTGGGGCATTGCTTGCCCATTGTCCACATAAACTGTGAAGGCAGAAGAAAGAAACACAACCTGGTTAGACAGAAGAAGAATTGGCAATGGATCGGAACCAGCGTGTGAAACTAAACGATGGTCACTTCATTCCTGTTCTGGGATTTGGCACCTATGCACCTCCAGAGGTAACAACAATGGTCTGGGTGTTGACAGCTCAAACTTTGGTGTTGGGAATAGCCCTGAGATGAGCGGAAGCTGACCTAGGCTGGCAGGTTTGTGTTGCTGGGTGACTCTAGGGCCATCCCTTGGTTCTCAATTTTACCAGCATCGAACTACTCCATGTAGAAGAGAAAAGGCGCAGTTTGTACTGAACTCTGAGTGTGTGGAAACCTACTGCTTATTTTGTGCACTGGCTCTTGCTTCTGTTTCTGTCTACTCCCAGCGTGGCAGAGATGAGACCCAGCAGGCAAGAGCATTGCCTGCCTCTCACTTGCTGGGAGGTTCGTTGTCGTGACTGTGATTTCTCTCTTTGTTGATATAATTCAGGAAATCTCTCTGCCTCCCAAGTAGCATACTCCAGGGAAATCTTTGTGGTAAAAGTCAAAAAGAAATGGAAAATATTTAGTTTCATTCAGGTTTTTGTCACTTTAATGTATTCTCAAATCTTCATCCAAATTGGTACATAAGACAATAATTTAAAATTTCACTGGAATGACATCTTTCCTAAAAGAATGAAATTGATTTTTAGGGCTGATACCTACTCTACTATTTCCCAGAAGCTGCAGTTAGTTCCTTATGTAGAAATCTATATCCTTAGAGTGTATCTCTCTACTCCTAGTGTTCACTGCTGTGATGCAGACAGGGCAGCTGAGTAGGAAAGAGCTAACACAACAGACTGCTGTCCACAGAGTGCCCACTTTCAAAGCTAGACCCTGGTGGGCATCTGACAAACTGGAATTCTCACCATTTCCTAACTGGTTAGAATGGTGGTTGTGCCTAAACTGCTTGTACAAACAGTGGAGTTTATGTATACTTGCTTTCTTTGGGAGACTGGAATTTAGGCATCTGCTACAGAAGGTGTAACAAGACCCCAGTGAAAACCTTAGAAACTGAGTACATAAAGAGCAAGCCCTGTAGACAGCATTTCTCACGTGTTGGGAGATTTTGATGCTGGAGAATTTACTGTGTTCAGGATAATGTCACTGGGAGAGGACCCATAGAAGCTTGCACTCTATTGCTTCTATATATACTTCCATATATATATATTGCTTCTATATATACTATTTTCTATGGTAATTTCACTATATAAAACATAATTATGACTATAACTATATACTGAGTCCTGATAATCTTCCCAACAAATCCCTGAACGTGGGGTGTTTTGGGGGACCTCCAATGCCAGTGATCAATGAGAGATTGCCTGGGATGGGAAGAGTTCCTGGGATGCTCAACCTTTATTGCTAACCAAGAATAAGCCAGGGCAACTGGGATGAGTTCATCATCCCACATACAGAAGTAACCCCAAGATGAGGAAAAGTTGATTTTTGTAAAGGTCATGGCTTATGCCTGAACTACCTCTCAGTCACATGGATCTCCTAATCCTACCTGTGGTGGTTGTCTAGGTCCCTAAAAGTAGGACCGTGGAGGCAACCAAATATGCAATAGAAGCTGGGTTCCACCATATCGATGCTGCTTATTTATATGAAAACGAAGAGCAGGTTGGACTGGCCATCCGCAGCAAGATTGCAGACGGCTCTGTGAAGAGAGAGGACATCTTCTACACATCAAAGGTATTGTATATACGATGTGCATGGGTGCCCCCTTACTGGTGGGACTGTCTGGGGATGACAATTATATGACTACATCAGTCAGTAGTTGACAGGAAATCATGCTTATTGGTTTAACTTGTATTCACACACATTCATGTATTGAAGCTAGAATTAAAAAGAGAATGATGATGGCTTTCTCATCATTGGTGTGTTCAAATTCATGACTTTAAAGTCACTTAACCTTTTTGAGCCTCAACTAAAATCAGAATGTTTTAATATGGTCTATAGAATCAGACAGAACAATGATCATATTATGTTTTCCCTTAGCTCCTGGGCGACTTTCTAAAATTTCTTACTCTAAGTATCTCTTGTCATCTTATTCAGAGAGAAAGAAAGCAAGATAAGAGAACACAGTGACTAGTAAATACTTATGGCTAAAGTGTCTTGAATTGTGTCCAACACATTAGCATGATACAAACATTTTTCCCGTTAGTTTCTAAACAAGAGTGATATTTATTCTTGCCTACTGGGTTGAAGACATGAGATAACTAGATTATTAAACTTCTCTGTAAATTCTATCAAACACAATGTAGATAACAGGCCCAATTATTACTTGATAACAATTTTTATTTTTTAGTAATTTGCTTCCATAGTTCAGTATATGTACTAATTATTTATGCAACATACGAGGGCTGTCCAGAATGTATCCAGTCAAATAGAGATATTTATTGTGTTAAAAATGGCTGGATACTTCCCGGACAGCCTTAGAATAATGGAGTTCATAGGAAAGGATCAGGTCTAAAGGAAATACAAGAAGGAAGGGAATATTCTCTGCCGGTGGTCATCAGTTTGAAAGCTGGGGGAAAATGTCGAAAAATCAGGTGAAGAAAATTAATAAAATTGGCTAAAGTATTTATTCAACTTCTATTTTTTAACCACTACAGCTTTGGTCCACTTTCCATCGACCAGAGTTGGTCCGACCAGCCTTAGAAAGGTCACTGAAGAAACTTCAACTGGACTATGTTGACCTCTATCTTATTCATTTTCCGTGGGCTCTCAAGGTAGGCAATTGGTTTGATGAAACTGCTTTAATTCTACTTTCAGCATGATCGCTATTTGAATGATGGTTAAACTAAACTACTTACTAGGAGGATGTGGGTATTATACACTGGAGTGGAACCCTAAGTGTAACCCCTAATTCTTTTTTCACTGAGTAAAGTTTGAATCCTCACTTCTCTATGGCATGTGTAAGAGAGAAGTAAGTACCCCTTCCTCAAAACCTTTGTCTCAAAAAACATGAGAAAACGATAATAGTCACAGGCAAGGCACTGTCTCAGTTATGGCTCCTCATTCCATCTCTTGGAATGGTCACAGACACAGACTTCATGCAGCCATGGTGGCCACCAAACAGCTGCACACGTGGTTACACCATGAGTATCTTCATCTCTCCCCATTTCATGCTCAAACTGATCCTCAAACTGGTGGATCCTACTGGGTGGGGCTTAAAGGAGAAACCTTGATAGGGACTTGGGAAAGTGGCTTCCCCTGCTGGCTCTTCCTTCACAATGGAGTTTTGTATCATAGCTGCACTTGGCCATTAATTAGTGTGTTTTATGTACCACTTCTAATTGGAATTTATAGAAGACCACTCAGGCTACTTAATGCAAAAGAGTGTATTGGATCGCGTCAATAGGAAGTCAAAGCTCTGGCTGTTTTGCAGGATTTGACATACTCTTCAGAAACGTATCCTTTTCTCCATTTCTATCTGTGTTTTCCAACAGGTTTTCCAAGATTTTTGTCCTAGCCTTTCCCCACATTGGGAATTACGGTTTTGAAGCAGTGCGAGCCTCATGGTCATTTACACATGGGAGCTGCTCTGGGTCATCCAGCATCCAAATTAATCTTGAAAAGAACTTCCCTTGACCATGTTTGGTTCATGGTCTTGCTAGTGGACCATCATGTGTCCTGGTGGTACAGAAGCTCTGATTATCTCACCAAGATGATCTGGGTCAAGATTGTGGTCACTATTGATGGTGTGAAGGTCTTTCCCAGGGAACGCGAGACATTTCCTCAGAGGAATGTATAGGGGCAGACAAAATAATATAAGTCACCGATGAGCCCCCATATGGACCTGGGGAAATGATATATAATAAACGTAAGAGAGTAGAGGAAGACTGTCACCTAAAGGCATTCCTTATAACTCTCTATATGAAACACTTTGCAAATATCAGTTTCCGGAACGCTGTGTCACTTACCTTACATATGATTCATGTCCCAGCCCTAAATGTACCAGGCAGTGTGGTGGCTATGGGCAAAGACTTTAATTTGTGACATTACTAAAATGACTGCTTTTAATTCAGCCAGGTGAGGAGCTTTTACCAACTGATGAAAATGGAAAAACAATATATGACATAGTGGATATTTGTGCCACATGGGAGGTAAGTGCTTGGGGAGAGAGCACAGATGAGGAAGCCAAAAGGGGGGAATCTGTTCCCCACCTTCTGCCTCTGAGCATGAGATAAGCACCATTGGTTCTAGAAGTTGGAGCTTTACACTGCCACATTTGCTGCAGTTGTGGGGAAGACACTATGACTACGATGTAATAGGGACAAAGGAGAAGAGCTGGGATGAGAAAGAACAGAACTCCTTCCTCCGTGTGCTTCAAAGAGTTCTTACTCTTGCTGTCACTCCTTTCTTCCCCTCTTCACTGTTCTTATTTCTCTCTTGACAATCACTGCTAGATAGCTTTTGTCATTTCTTGACAGCTATTGATTTAACATTTCTGTCTTCCTGCATCTATCTGATCTACAACCAACTGATAAATGATGTCACAATCCTTTCCTCCCCAGGCCCTGGAGAAGTGTAAGGACGCAGGATTGGCCAAGTCCATCGGGGTGTCCAACTTTAACCGCAGGCAGCTGGAGAAGATCCTGAACAAGCCAGGGCTCAAATACAAGCCTGTCTGCAACCAGGTGAGCACCTCAGCCGCCTCTCCTTTTTGTTCTTCCTGCCCTTCTTCCTGCACTCCTGCCAGGTGTCCATTTGACATTCCCTCCCCTTCTTCTTCCCTTTGTGGAACAGAAAGTTCTGCACAGCAAGGCCCCTGTCTAGAAGGTCATGGAGAACCTTTAATTGTATCTGCTTGGAAAAGTCTTAGTGAAAATTCTGGGAGAGCTCAGTGTGGAAACGTGTGTAAGAAGTGGGGGAGGTCAGTTTGATCAAGGATGCCTGGAGTGGTTAATCAGACCTGAGGTCAGGGGAGTGGGCTTATCCCTGAGCTGTGAGGGATGCCCAGAGAGTGGGTGGGGGAGGGAACTGTGTACAGGTAGGAAAGCCATGAAGATGGGGAATGGGCAGCAAATAAGGGGACGCTGAGGATTAGAGAAGGTAGGTGCTAAGGCTTCACATGGGGTTCAGACACCTGAGTCCTTCATCTTGGTAACCTTGCCTTGAAGGGATTTTTGTCCAGGTCCATAGATACACTAATAATCAACTGAAGACAGTGGAAGTCATCAGGTGAGAGGGAGGAAGTTACCTGTTATGGAGCTACCTGTTGACTGTGGATGAAATCAACATGGAGACACGTTGGGCAGAGCTTGGAGCTGCCCTTGTGCCTCCCACATCCTAGTCTGCTTCTCCCCAACCCCCCCCACCCCCCCGTGCTGCTGCCATCAACTCTCCTGTGTAGACACATCTGTCTACACGTGCTCTGGGCTCCAACTCACTTGCAACAACTTGAAGTCAAGGAGTAAGGGCCATGATTGAAAAATAGAGCTTAGAAAATTTGTGAATTTGGTATATAATGATACAGCACCAGGATTTTCAAATATGAAAGTTAAGAAATTAATGTGGTTTTCTTATTAGTTTTATCCTGATTTTTTATGACAATTTTCAAACATTTTGAAAATTTGAAAGAATGATATAAGTTACCCACATGTGTTTCTATCTATATAAAAAATTGTTACTATCTATATAAAAATTATTGACATTTTCCCCATTACCATAAATACTTATAAAAGTATTTATGTTTGAGTGTATCTGCATACATACCTCTAAGATTTGCTGAACTCTTCAAAGTAAATTGTAGAGGACAATTTACACCTGTAGATCTTTAAAAGCATGTTATAGGAGTGAAGATATTCTCCCAGTTACAGGGCCATTATTGTATCAAGGAAATTAACAATAATGCTCTCACATCATCTAATATTCAATCACTATTCAAGTTTTCCCTTTGTTTTCCCAAAATGTCTTTTATAGCCCTTTTTTAACCAGGATCCAATTGAGGTTTTCATATTGCTATATTTTGATATCAATGAATTGTTTCTCTATTCCAACTCTCTGAAAAATTAGAAGTCACATTTGAATGCTTTAATCCATTAATATTAAACATTTCAGGCAGAAAAATGTTCATAGCCTGCCATGTCCCTCTAATGGCACCATGGTAGACAGCATGTAGTGACAGGTTTCCTCACTGTTAGTTATGGCAGTTTGATCACTTACTACCAGCTACTGGTAGCCAGATCTGTTCTTCACTAACATATGTTTTCCCTTAGAATTACTCGTAATCTGAGGGTGATAACTGTCAAGAGTATTGTGATATTCCATAAAAAATTTTCACATAATGGTTAAGTATACATCAATTATGTTTTATTTCCTGGTACTAAATCGTTATTTCCTTGTTGTATTTATTTCCTTGGGATTTAAAATAATTATTCTCAGTTTTAAACACTCTTTTTATTTTCTTATATGACATTTTACTGAGGAAAGTGCCTTCAGCAAGTCAGGATGAAATAGAATTATTCTTCTAACACAGGATAAAAGATTAACTCAATCCTTTAATCATCCATATCCAGAGACAGGAATTTCTATAATAGTCAACACCTGTGGGGGCAAATTATTTTCTCTCTTATTGTCTCTCATCACTTATGGACTCAAGAATTTTGTTTTCTTTATGATTTATAATTAATTTTACTCATTATTCATTTTGATTCTCAAATCTACTCAACCCTTATCAGTGGGATTCCTGCCAAACTGGTTCTTCTGTCAGTTAGTCAAAGAGTCCTTGACCAAACTCCTGCTTTCTGGAAGAACTTGATGTCCAAGGCTCAAAGTGTTCTCACCCTGTCCCAGGTGTGAAGTTCTGCATGTCTCCTTATAGGTGTGTAGAACAAAATCTGAGTCTTGGTGTCGATTGGGTTCAGAAATGGCATTTTTATTTATTCTTTCAAGAGACACATATAAAATTTATTTTTCTAAATCAATTGTTACTTGAGGTTACTATTCTCAATTCAAATGTGCTGTTTCACATATATTTTTATGCAGCTTCTTTTACTTTTTATCTTTTTTCATATTAATACTACCGTTGCACATAATCCAGTGTTTTTCTGTCTTGGTCTTCCACAGGTGGAATGCCATCCTTATCTCAACCAGAGCAAACTGCTGGATTTCTGCAAGTCAAAAGACATTGTTCTGGTTGCCTACAGTGCTCTGGGAACCCAACGAGATAAACGATGGTAAGAACAACAGAGGGTTTACCTAAAACACCATTTCGATTTAAAACTTTTCAGTCGTGCCATACTCGGCTTCCTGGCATTAACTGTCAAGTGGCTCAGGGAGAGGGGAGCAGGTGCATTTCTGACAACATCCCAGGTGGTGCTGGTGCTGCTGGCCTGGGAACCAACCCTGAGAAGCACCGGGGTAGCGTGGACCCCTGAGTCTGCTTTGCAAGCTCCTGACAAACTGATACGCAGCCTCAGGAGCTCAGCATTTCTGCCCGTCCTTCCAGGGTGGACCCAAGCTCCCCAGTGCTCCTGGAAGACCCAGTTCTTTGTGCCCTGGCCAAAAAGCACAAGCGAACTCCAGCCCTGGTCGCCCTGCGCTACCAGCTGCAGCGTGGGGTTGTGGTCCTGGCCAAGAGCTTCACTGAGCAGCGCATCAGAGAGAACATGCAGGTGAGGAGGGGGCTGGGCCTCAGGCTCCTGCACAGGGACCTGGTCACGGGTGCTTCTCTGGGAGGCTCTGCAGACAGCCTTGGCCAAGTCCCTCTCCCTGGCACTTCCTGGGCACCGTGCTGCGTGCGTGTCCCTGAGGGCTTTCTCCTGCTCCACAGCAGCAGAGGCAGCATGGGCCGAGAGAGTTAGGATCGGCCCGAAAGCAGAGATCTGGGTTTGAGCACCAAGTCTGCAAAACACTCTGTCTCCCTGTGGTAGGGACGTCGCCTTCTCTGCATTTTCTGAGATGAGGGATTTGGACTAGATGATCTTTAGTCTCCATATTGGGGTTTTTTTTTTTAAATAAATTTTTGCGTTTTTTTGTATACTCGTGTAGTCTAATTTTCATATATTTATTCTCTTAGAATTTTCTCTTTGTGAAGTGCCTATTTAAGCTTTTGCCTATTTTAATTGTTGTTGTTTTTTTTTTTGTCTTTCTTTTCATGTAAGAGAGCATAAATACAGCAATAGCTAAAGGAAACCCCACTCAACATAGAGGTTTAACATGAAATAATTTATTTTGTTTTTGATTCTATGGTTTGAAAACTAGCCTTGGCTTAATGTGAACTCAACCAAGTTCTCCGGTTCCTGGTAGGGCTCCCTCACCTATGAGCAGGACGATGAGGCAGCTTTGTCAGGATCAGGACAGGGCTGTGGTCTGGGCACCTCCACTCTCCTCCATGTGGTTTCATCCTCCAGCCGTCTAGTCCGGGCTTCTCCTCACGTGGCACCAGCCCAAGGCAGTGCATGGACATGTGCAAAGCCTTTCCATGTCTAGGTTCAGAGCTGCCACACCATTGCTTCTGGAAAATTCTATCAGACAATGCAAGTTAGAGGGGATTAGACACCACTTCTTATTGGAAAGAGATGGAAACTCACGTAACAGCACATTTGGATACAGAGTCTTGGGAATTATTTTGAAGGGCATGTTACTAGTTAATCTAACACACACATATATTTTTTTTCTGGATATTCTTTCATGTTCAGATGTGTTGCTGAAATAACATCTCCCGTATTGTGACTGTAGTTTTAGTCTTTTTCTCCTATGTTTTCATGAACAAATGTTTTACTCTTAATGTAGTCAAACTGTTCACATCCCTCCCTTGAGTGTTGTATCGTTTCCTACATTGGAAACACTACAGTATACTACTATATTTTCTTCCAAAATTGTTACATTCTTTCCTTATAAACTTCTTGGTTAATTCAACTGGATTTTTTAACACTATGTGATAAGATCTAAATATACATATATAATTTTTAAGTAGATATCAAATTGGCCCCATAATGTTAAGGAAAGGTCTATATTTGCCTATAGATAATGTTGTTTCAACTCTATCATATATAATATGAAATGTCCATAATTCCTCCTCTGGCCTGTCTTCTGTCTTCAATTGACTTATTTACTTTCCTGTACTATCTTAACTATCTTGAAAAGTAAGTCTTCCTGTCCAGAATAGTAAAACTTTTAACTAACTCCTTCACTTATTTAAGAATACCTTGGCTATTCTTAACTGGCCGTCTGTCATCTAAAATTTAGAATCATCATATAATCTTCCACTAAAGAGTAAATATGTCAGTCTTTAGCAGGTATTACCTTTAAATTGCAGATCATTTTGGAAAGACTGAGTTCTTAACAATTTTGAGATTTCCCATTCATAATCATGATATAAATTTCAAATTATTTAAGTGGTCTTTTAATACATATATCAATAAATTTCATAACTTTTTCCTTTAAGGCATTTGTATATGTTTTCTTAGATTTATTCATAGGGATCTGATAGTTTGGATAGTATGTTCATGAGCTGTCATAAAGACTTTTTGCTTTTTATTTTGAGAATTTTCAAATGTAAAGAAATATTCAAAGAATAATGTAGCGAATGCCTCTTACTTTGATTCACTATTCGTTAAATGTTTGACATTTTTTGTTCTCTCTCCTTCTCTATATCACTACTTTGCAGTATTAATAAGGATTTGTGGATCCCTTTGGTTCAATATGCTACAAATTAGTGACATCTTTTTGATGCTTGTGGTCTCCTAGATTTAAACGGTGACATCATCTGCAGCCAGAATCTGTGTCCTTTGAAGATGATATCATTAGTATCTGTGTAATTCCTGGCTTAAATTATGTCGAAGAAATGATTTTCACTTTAGAACTTCTCAATGATGAGATGTCGAAATCTAACTGTACCCATCAAACTTACTAAATTATCTAAAAGTCCACAAAAATGTGCCTCTAGATACTTCTAGATCTTATAAGCACATGACCCTTCCATGTTTGGAAAATGTCAGCTTTGTGTCTTCTCCAGTGTTTCAGATCTCCTGCTGCTCTAGGCTGTTTCAGTATATCCTGTCTAGGGATGGATTTCTGTGTACTGTTCACCTGGTATCCATGAACCACTCAAGTATTAAGTACTGCCTCTGCCCCATGGTGTCTGATATACTTGGATACTCTCAAGTGGCAATTATGCAATCCAAAAATAATAAAAATTTTCTATTTTTGTGATAGGTTTTTGAATTCCAGTTGACTTCAGAGGACATGAAAAAACTAGATGGCCTAAACAGAAATCTACGCTATATTACTGCTGATTTGTAAGTAATTTTGTTAAATGTGTTCCTGCAATGTATTTTCTGAGGAGGAATGTGGATGGGTGTTGAAAGTTCCCTCAACCCCAGGAAGACACAGGCCAGTTTGAGTCTAGATGAAACAGGAGCTTTCTGGAACTCTCCTCCAGGTTTACTCCAAGCTCTGTTCTCTGACAGGGTGAGTGGGCCCAGGTCAGCGTGGGTCACCATGTGCATGTGCACTCCTGCTTCCTTGGAACTTTCCAGAGAAGCCAATATCATTGCTGAGCCTACACCTTCCATACAGGCCTTTCCTGTCTACACAGTCTAGTGGACATACGCTGTGGATATTATTAATGTAGCCTAATCACATATTTCCAAATCTCTTTTTATATCTGTTTATATCTCATTCTCCCAAACCTGCTCAATTCCTTATCAGATCAAAGGCACTTCCATCAACCTTGTGGTCCATGCCAGACATTCCCATGTCCTCCACATGGAATGTTCACTAGATCCTATCAATTAGTATCTTTCATAGTTTCTTTTTAATTTTAAAATACTATGGTGATACAAATGTTTTTGGTTACATGGATTGCTTAAGTCCTGTCTATAAGTGTGTCCATCACCCAAATAGTGTTCATTGTGCCTGTTAGGTAGATTTTTGCCCCTCCTTCCATCCTCCCTCCCCTCTGCTTGATTTCCACTGAGTTTTACTTCCCTCTGTGCCCTGTGTGCCCCTCGGTTAGTCCCAGTTTAATAGTGAGTACATGTGGTGTTTTTTTTCCATTCTTGAGATAGTTCACTTAGGAGAATGGTTTTCAGTGCCATCCAAATTGTTGCAAAGAGCATCAATTCATTCTTTTTATGGCTGAGAAGTACTCCATGGTGCACATATACCACATTTTGTTAATCCATTCATGAATTGGGGGACACTTGGGTTGATTCCACATCTTTGCAATTGTGAATCATGCTGCTATAAACATGCAGGTGTCTTTTTGATAAAAAGAATTCTTTTCCTTTGGATAGATTCCCAGAAGTGGGATTGCTAAATCAAATGGTAGGTCTACTTTTAGTTTTTTGGGGAATCTCCATACTGTTTTCCATATAGGTTGTACTAATTTGTAGTCCCAGCAATGTGTATAAGCATTCCTTTCTCTCTGGATCCACACCAGCATCTATTATATTTTGATTTTTTTTTACTTTAAAAAGTAAAGAGGTTGTACTAATTTTCAGTCCCACCAACAGTGTATAAGTGTTCCTGTCTTTCCACATCCACACCAGTGTCAATTGTCTTGGGACTTTTTAATAAAAGCCATTCTAACAGGTAAGGTGATACCTCATTGTCATTCTAATTTACATTTCCCTGATGATTAGAGGCACTGAGAATTTTTTCATGTATTTGTTGGCCATTTGTCTATCTTCTCTTGAAAAGCTTCTGTTCATGTCTTTTGCCCACTTTTTAATGGGGTTATTTCTTTTTTTCATCCAGATTTGTTTCAGTTCTTTGTAGATTCTGGATATTAACCCTGTTTTGGATGTATAGTTTATGAATATTTTCACCCATTCTGTAGATTGTTTATTTGCTCTGTTGATTATTTTCTTGTCTGTGCAGAAGCTTTTAAATTTAGTGTCTTTAATGTTCCTTCTCATTGGGTGTTTGCTCATGACCAAAACACTGCATTTGGCTCCAGGCAGGCTACTTTGATGGGGCAGTGGGAGCTCTTGGTTTAGATTTTCTGCTGTAAGAGACCTCAATGTGAAAATGGAAGAAGTTTTAGAGAAGAGAAATTGAAAACAAAGGGAAGAATGTGGAGGCAAAAGCTCCTGGTTGGAAATAATTTATAGTCAACAAAAGATCTTCACTATTTCTTCATGGGCTAACAATCTAGGATTCATGGAAGGACATTCACTGTAAAGAGGGAAAAGGAAGAAGTTATGTTACTGCTGCCAGTGCAGATTTTAACAGATCATAGAGATGAGGAGATAATGTATGCAAAAGTATAAGCACAACGGCACATCATTGTTGATTTTTTATTACATTAGAGGAAAATGAAGAATGAAAAAGAAGGGAAAGTAGCAAGCATGAGAATTCTTACCACCAATTAAATATTTGTAATAAGCAGTTCTGATCAAACCCAGTCTGTAACTCTGGGGTCCATTGGGGAAAAAAAGAGAAAGAAAGGGAAAAAAGCAGTAATTTGTTCACCAATTTACATGTTGTGTTATTTCTACATAGAGTCTCCTTAGTGCATTGTATCTCTTGGATTTAGGGCTCTACATTATATATGACAATTTACATTTCTCATACTAATACAATATGTTCCATAAGTTAGGCAGTAAGTAATTAATGAATTAATGAATGGAAGTATAATTGACCTAGTAATTTTTAATGCTCAAGTGTTTATTAGTGATGAAACTATAGCTGGTTTGTTCTTATTCAAAGTAATACAGTATGAATTATTTCTTTCACTGAGAATTTGAAAGAAAAAAGAGCAGAATATCTCCTTGGTTTGTTGACAGATGCAGAGGAATAGGTTTGAATATTTGACTTTGTGTGTTTTGTGTGGTAAGTTCCAGGGAAGTAAATATAATTTGAATAACTTATATTTTTTAAAAAACTCATAAAGTCATGTTAATAAAAGTAAGAAGGGAAGATTCTACAATAAAGTCAGGAAATAAAATTTATAACTTCCACCCTATGGCAACTTCCTAGAAATCACTTTGTTACCACCCTAGTAATGTAGTTGTTGTGTCCATATCATGCAATATCCTTCCTCTTTTCAGTATGGCTGACCACCCTGACTATTCATTTTCGGATGAATATTAACATGGAGGTATTTGCATGACTACTTCTGAATGCTTCTGCCTGTGCATAGTGATGAAGAAGAGGTCTCTGATGCTGGCCTTCGGACACATCACCTCTGGCTAATTACACGTTGCTTAGGAACTTCAGCCAGCTAATACCAACTCCGCAGATAAGAAAGAAAAGACAATAAATGTATGTCACTTTGAAAAAGTTAAATGTTTCCCCTAAAAATTCTTTATCTACTCCAGTCTGTGTTACTTATATGTTTTGGTTCTTCTGTCTCATTAAGGTCAAAAACAGTGATTCGCCTAGAAGTTTGGTGACAGAAAGTGGGAGATAATAAAAAATCTTTTATAGACATTTCTGAGGTGGGAGTGGGTGGAGTTTCCAGCCCCTATAGATAGCACTAGTAGGTATTTATCAGGTAGTGTGTGTTTAGCTTTGGGGGAATAAGAAAACACACCGCACATGGTCCGGGAGGCGAGACACATGTTGAAAGTGTGAGGACAGTCAAGGGCCCCCTCCAGCAGTGCAAGGATCAGAGCTGCAGGAACCAAGAATGAGGGATCCCTGTGGGGCACGGTCAGGTGGAGAAAGGCAAATGCCCAGGAAGTGTGGTTTGGAGTCAGGTATGGGGAGACTCAAGAGGAGGGCTGTCAGAATGTCTCTGCTTGGGAAATGTCAGTCAATGCTCCTTTAGTAGTTACATCTTGTACATAAAAGGAAACTTTCCAGTGTTTTATCAAAACTCAGAGGTGAGGCCCAGTGTGGTGGCTCACGCCTGTAATCCTAGCACTCTGGGAGACTGAGGCAGGTGGATCGTTTGAACTTAGGAGTTCGAGACCAGCCTGAGCAAGAGTGAGACCCCATCTTTACTAAAAATAGAAAGAAATTAATTGGCCAACTAAAAATATATAGAAAAAATTAGCCAGGCATGGTGGCACATGTCTGTAGTCCCAGCTACTCAGGAGGCTGAAGCAGGAGAATTGCTTGAGCCTAGGAGTTTGAGGTTGCTGTAAGCTAGGCTGACACCATGGCACTCTAGCCTGGGCAACAGAGTAAGATTCTGTCTCAAAACAAAAAACAAAAACAAAAAAAAACCCAGAGGTGAGAGTCAGACCTGGACTTCCCATGTGTGCCCAATAACAATAGTGACCTTGCTGGGCTGTTGTGGGGCAGGACATCAAAGACAAAATTGACTGAACACATGTCTCAGGTCATGCCAGGGAAGTTGTTAATTACACAAAAGTTCTGGAAAGGTCGTTTTTGTTATTTGCACATTTGCTTTCTGATGTTTACATTGTAAAACCTCAGAAACACTGAACAAGAGATTTAATAAATAGAATGATTTAAAAATTAAGAGCCCTATTTTATAAATCTCTTCCCGATCAGCTTGTATCAAAACAGAGAGCTTGTGGAACTCAGAGCAAGTGCAGCAAGCCAGGTGTGTGTTCTCAGCAGCTCTAACATGCCACCAGGTTCTCTGTTCACCATGTGTCAGCAATATTTTTCAGAGAAGGAGGTTATAGTTAATGCTCTTGTCAATGGAAAAGAAGACAAATTCTATGAAATAATATAAGGAGGTTTATTCTCAGCTAAATTTGAGGACCATGGCCCAGAGCCATACCCAAGAAGCCTTGAGCAAGTGGACTCCCTGTGGTTGGGTTACAGTTTGGTTTTATACATTTTGGGGAGACAGTAATTACAGGTAAGGCCATAAATCAATACATGGAAGGCATACATTGGTTTGGCCAAAAAAGTGGGCCATCTCAAAGTGGGGGCTTACAAGTCATAGATGGATTTAGGGATTCTTTAGTTGACAATTGGATGAAAGAGTTAGGCTTTGTCCAAAGACCAGGAATCAGCAGAAAGGAACGCTTGAGTTAAGATAAGGGTCTTCTATCTTTTATGTGGTGCTATACCAGAATCAGGTTGGGAAGTAAACTACATCATTAAAACCTGTTCACTGAGATTTTATCATTTGTAGGCATGACACACCAGGCCCCCCCCTTAGAAAGAAATTCTTTGGGCAAAGAAAAAGATCAGAGTTCAATCCTCACTATCAAGACATTTTTAGATGATCTCATATGGTGAGTGTAAATGCTTTAATGGAGTATGGGGTAGGGGAGACATGTCTGACACCTGACAAAGGATGGGCCTGTCCTACCCTTCACCCCAAATCAACCTTCTGAAACCCATCTACTCCCATTTAACCCTGAGGCAAATAGTCACTGGCTTCTATAGGAAACGTTTTCAACTTGCTACTCTATCTTTAAGGGAGAATTTTTCCACTCCCTTCCTAATAGTAGCATAACTGCAAAGTAGCATGACTAAGCAGCTAAAGAATGACCTTTGACTAGATTTCAATCTTGTGCATAACTGCAAAATAACATGACTAAGCAACTATAGAGTAACACGTGACTAGACTACAAGCTTGAGCAGACTTTGTAACCATTTGCTTCTGTAACGTATAAAAGCCCCCATGCTTAGACCCCATTTTGCTCAAAATTTGGAAGTGAGACCCCTCTGAGTCTGCTGGCGTTAATAAAAGCCTGTTTTGCAATACCCTAGTGTGACTCTCTGTTTGTTGCCTGGTCTGGTTTGCAGTAACATATCTACAATCAAGAGTAACAGTGTTTAAACCACAAGTGGTCTAAAACTTTCTAGGCCCTTCCTATATTTATGAATATATTTATATTAATTATGTATCCAAAATATAATCCCTGTGCTAATAAGAAAAATTACCAAGGAAAATACTAGAGAGAAAATAAACTCACCAATAAGTACTGTCTTCTACTGATGACTTACCTTGCATTTAAAAGTTGGGTTAGTTTTCGATGCCAGTCAAAAACATCCTGCCATTTTATTATGGGGAATGTTTAGAAAAATCAAATTCATAGCCCAGATTAAAAAACAACAACAACAACAACAACAACAAAAAAAACCGATCTTTGTTTTCCCTTTGTCTTCAGAAATCCATCCAGAAGGGAAACATTTCATTCCCAAAACAGGACAAAGCAATCAGCTGCCAGGCTCTTCAGAATAAAGTGTTTAGTTGAGTAAAGAGTCAAAACAATTGGTAAACGCAGAACTGAGATATTAAGTTTCCCACTAGAAGTATTGTAACAAGCAGGAGAAGGAAGTGAAACACAGTCTGGGAATGACCCATCATTTTCTCAGCTGGGACGTTCTTGTTCCTTCTCTGCTTAAGGATTCTCCTCTCCTGACTGCCCTGTGCCCAGGCCTGTACCTGCCCCTCCACTCTGTGAGAGAGAACCGCTCAAGCACTCATTGGACAAGTGAATCCTCATTTGCTCCTTAAAGCTAGTCCCAAGAAAATTCTATTTAAGAAAAAGCAAGGGGCTAATTCCTTATTGCTTAACTCTTACAAATGATTCTAGTGGGAAACAAATTATCTTGTTGCAACTGGGAAATGGCTAGAAGTTTTTGTAAATATTTCAAGTTTAGATAAAGAGTATAATTTATCTGACTAATCCCAGTGAGATGAGAAAATTGGGATCCCAATAGGATGTGTATCATAATTACCAAGAGATTTTAATTTTATAATTTCACAAGGTGGATTTCTTGTTGTTCTTTTTAATGTCATCATGCAGCCAAATAATTCTGTGCATGACTGGAACACGAATCTGCAACTAACCCAAAGGTGGCCCTCCTTGGCTGGGCAATGGCATAGAAGGGCAGGAAGGAGATCTTTCCCTAAAACGGTGCTGTGTACAGCATAGTGACAAATCAACTCAATCGCACCATTTTTCTTAGTCTGTATGTGAGATACATGAAAAGAGATACTGACAAAAATGTGTCAAAAACAGAAAGCAGAATAAAAAGCCACAAGACAATTAAGGGAACAAGAGAGTGAAAGCCCTAAATGAGAGAAGACAGGAGGGATTGCACTATCCCTAAAAGGAAAAGAAAAATGAGACATAAAGCAGGAATCAAGAAAAGCGGGACCATGGACATGGCAACATTTCTAGAGGAGCATCTTAGTTCATTCTATGCTGCTATAGCAGAACCCCTGAGACTAGGTAATTTACAAAGAACAGAGGTTTGTTTTTTATAGCTCTGGAAGCTGAGAAGTCCTGATGTAGGACATCAGAAGACCTGATGCAGGTCATGGAGCCTGCATCTAATGAGGGCTTTCTTGCTGCATCACCCCATGGCTGAAGGCAGGGGAGTGAGAGAGCCTGTGACAGAGAGAGAGAGAGAGGAAGGGGCCAAATTCAACCTGTTATCAGAGTCCCACTCCCTTGATAACGATCCTCCTGATATCCAACTCCTGTGATAATGACATAATAGCATCAAGCCACACACGGGGGTGGGGCCTTTATGACCAAATCACCTTGTAAATGTTCCACCTCTCAACACTATTGCTTTGGAGATTAAGTTTCTAACACATGGACTTTGGGGGCATATTCCAGCCATAGCAAGTAGGTAAGAAGGGATTTTAATCTCCAAAGACACAACTACCAGCGTTGTTGCTGTGATTTGAGAGCCACTGCTGCGCTATATCTCCTAATTGTGTTTTGTGTGTTTGCTGCAGTAGAAACAGGCTCTGATGGAAGTGAAAGGGAGGTTCTTAGAGGGACACTGGGTGACTCAAGGGATAAACGAAGGTGGAACAACCAGGGTGTTGGATGCTGTAAGACTAGGGCAGCTCAGGACATCTCAGCCCCAGCAACCTATGACTTCTCCTTCTCTCTAGAGCCTTCTCTGACTCCCACTTTCTGCAATCTTCTTTTTGGACCTCAAATTCCCATGAGAGAAACTCTGATGGAGAATCAGGTGTCCACCATGAAAGAATTATTCAGGACACTCGTTAAAGCTTTGTGAACTAAAATAAAATCCCAAACTCCCCAGCTGACTGAACCCCCTTTTGGACAATGGAACCCTAGAAAAACCTTAAAACTGAGTTGTCACCCATGAAGAGAAGGGAGGACAGACACGCCACCTCATTATGCCCTCTCCCCTGTGCAGTTACTCTTTGTAATCAGATACTAAATCGGTAACCTACAGGCGACACAAAGGTTAAACCACACCTGCAGGTCATCAACTTGATTAACAGATCACTTGAGTTCAGTATATGTATAGTAGCTTATCTCTGATTAACAGACATCCTTATCTTAACTTCAAACACTAAGGTTTTAGATAAATCTTCATGTCTCTAACCAATTACAAATCAAAGAATCTTTGAATCTACCTATAACCTGTAGGCCCCTGCTTTGTGATGTCCTGCTTTTGGGGGCCAAACCAACGTACACCTTCCTGGTATTGACCTAGGATCTTACGTGCAGTTCTTTTCTCCATGAATGTATAAAACCAAACTGTACCCTGGACACCTCAGGCACACTTTTTTCAGGATCTCTTGAGGCCATATGCTCTGGGCTACAGTCATACGCATTCAGCTCAGAATAAACTTCTTTAAATTATTTCACAGAGTTTTCGCTTTTTCTGTAAAAGCCTGGTGACGAAGACTCTACTCAGCAGGGGTCATGGCATTAGCTACAGGGACCACCACAATGGGGTCTCCCAGTAGAGGAGAGACATTGAGCTCAAATCCGACTCCAGTCAGTACCAGTGGGGGTTTATAACCAAGGAGCAGGGGAGCGATGTGGGAAAGCAGATAGAAAATTGCTAACAGGATGTATCAGAGGTAAGGGAAGCATTTTTTATGAAAACAAGGCGGAAAGTCTGGAATATTGGAGCACCGTGATGGCAAAGTATTCACTTTGCTTACATCTCCCTGTACTAACCGCACATGTCCATGCTCTGCTCAGGGACCTCTATGGGACGATGGGGCTTTTCTGCTCTCCAGATGGGTCTGGGACCCAGGGCTGCAGCTGCTCCCTCCGAGACAGGGGGCTGGAAGGAGAGATGGGATGGGGGTCCATGTGCTCAGGTCAGCAGGTGTAACTGGACTGCCCCAAAAAGGAGTCTACACAGGGAAGGGTAATTCTGTGTCCTTTATAATGAAACTAAAGGGAGAAATTATGGAACCATAAAGGCATCCAGGCCAGGCGCGGTGCTCATGCCTGTAATCCTAGCACTCTGGGAGGCCGAGGAGGAAGGATTGCTTGAGCTCAGGAGTTCGAGACCAGCCTGAGCAAGAGCAAGACCCACCCCACCCCACCCCGTCTCTACTACAAATAGAAAGAAATTAGCCAAACAACTAAAAATACAAAAAATTAGCTGGGAATGGTGGCACATGCCTGTAGTCCCAGCTACTTGGGAGGTTAAGGCAGGAGGATCACTTGAGCCCAGGAGTTTGAGGTTGCTGTGAGCTGGCTGCGCAACGGCATCTGCCGGCAACAGAGTGAACTCTGTTCAAAAAAAAAAAAAAAAAAAAAGCATCCAATAGCAGCTTTCTTTTACTGTATTTGGGAAACCAACAGACAAGTTCCTCCTCCTTTATGTTGTGGGAAATAGTTAAAAATGAATTCTCCTATCAACCCAGAAAACTCATTCACACAAATTAGAAAAGGCAGAAATGGTTTTCTTAGTGAAAAAGCATTAAACTAGGCTGCAATGAGCATCACAGGTAATCTGCTAATGACAGAGGGAGATCTCACCCCTTTACAGAGCAAAGCAGAGACGATCTTACATTTCTAAGATAAATAAAAACTGGTCCTCCTGTAATAAGACTTAACACTACCATTTTCTATGCAGTCCTGCACCCCGAGTCCTAAATTCGCTGGTAATTGCGGTAGCCTCTGTGCAATCACCTTCATCCCAAGGGGGAAAAAACTTCCCTGTGGCATAAGGCAGTCATCGCTTGGAGCAGAGAGATTGGACTGTCTGTCATGACATCTATATTTCAAAAAGTCAACTCAATCCCTTAAGAAAATAAACCTTGGCCGGGTGCGGTGGCTCACACCTCTAATCCAGCACCTGGGAGCGAGCGGGTGGATTGCTCAAGTCAGGAGTTAGAAACAGCCTGAGTAAGAGCAAGACCCCGTCCTACTAAATTAGAAAGAAATTAATGGAACATAATATATATATTATATATATATATTTATTATAATTAGCTGGATGTGGCGCATGCCTATAGTCCCAGCTACTCGGGAGCTGAGGCAAGTGGATCGCTTGAGCCCAGAGTTTGAGGTTGCTGTGAGCGTAAGCTGATGCCATGGCACTCTAGCCCAGGAAAAAGTGAGACTCTTGTATCAAAAAAAAAAAAAAAAGAAAGAAAGAAAAGAAAAGAAACCTAGGTTGTATTAAGTAATTCTGGCAAAACTTAGCTTTTAAAAAGATTTACATGCATTATCAAAGGATTTGAGGACATTAATGTAATTTTTCTCAAGGAAAGCTAAAAAGGATAAGGGGTAAAAGGTCTTTATCCCTTTTGGCAACAGAGAAAACCCAACTTTTTAAACTTTCCCTTACATTTGTCTAGAAATGTGAAGATCAAACAAACATGATTTCAAAACAGAAAAGAAAGGCTTTAAGGAGCAGAACTGCAGTTAATGTTCTCCTTCCTGAGGCAGATACTTGGCTGATATTTTAATTATCAAGTATAAGTGTTTATTTTGACTTCCCAGAGAATTTGGTAAGTAATTTATTCACATTTTTAAGCCCCTAAAGATTAGCTTGCTGCTCAGTAGCACTACAACCCAAGGTAAGCGTGGTGTTTGTGCTGCTGCTTCTAGCGTCTTGTGTTGAATCATGACAGCCAGAAACAAGCTCAGCAATTATGAAGTCAGAGCGTGCACAAAACATGAAGCTAGTTGATATGGTGAGGACAGGCATTATCAGTAAGATTCCTCTGCAGGGATTCAGCATGAGCTGAACTGAACACCACCGTGCACAGTGACTCAGCCTTTCAAAGGAGAATGAGGGACAGGCCTGAACAGAGACTCGTGTGAGCCAGGGAAGGGAATGAATACCAATATTTTAGACACAAGAGAGACCATTAGAATTTGTCTTTTGAGAATCTGAGAATTTTTCTTGTCGATTAATATAAACCTCTTATGATACATGTATTTCTTAACATGCATTTTATTCCTGTTGCAATCTGTTGCTTTCACTACTGTGGATTTAAATTGTCCCTCAAGTTCTCACAAACCTGAGAATTGGTATGTTGTGTGCATACAAATATTTATCTCCCTTTATGTCTTTATTTCTCCAGGATGAGGAGAGGAGCATGATATCCCTGAAACACAGAAGGGAGGTCACAGCAGGAGAGAGTGAGGACCTTGACCACTTTCACATGGACCTAAGGGTCATCCTGTCTGGAGAATCACTTGAAGGCTGTTTTTTACTGTCCAAGGAAAATTCAAGTCCAGTGAAAACCAGAAGACAAGGAGGCCTTCATGCTGAAGGCTTTCAGGCAATACACTGAATTGTGAGTGTGTGTGTGGGGAGCAAAGAAGTTCTGGGCCTATGTCCAGGCCATGCAAATGGAGACTGGGACGTGTTCTACCATGTCCACATGGGCCAATTGGGAGCTCAGTTGTATAGGCTGACACCCAAAGGCTAATGAAAACACTCTGGTTTCAGGACTCAAGAAAATGTGGTGCTGTCAGGAAAGAACAACCCAGCTAGAGTCAGGAGATGTCAACCCAGATATGTTATCATTACAGAGGAAAAGTAAGAGTTAATCGTGAATAGCAAAATAAAAAAGAATACTTGTAGGACTGCTTTGGGATTTATTCCAGGCATTAAGTATGATTCAATATACCACGTTTCCCCGAAAATAAGACGGGGTCTTATATTTATTTTCCTCAAGAAGACACCCTAGGGTTATTTTCAGGGATGTGTTTTTTTTTAAGTACGGTACAACAATCTACATTTATTCAAATATAGTTAAGTCATCTTATTCTGGAACACCATCATCACTCTCCAAACCCCAAATTCCATCCTGAATTTCTTGCATTGGCCCCAATCTCTCATGTTGAGCAATAGAGCATCCTGAATTTCATGCATTGGCCCCAATCTCTCATGTTGAGCAATAGAGCAGTCATGGGGCAGATGGAAGGTGCTCATCTTCTTTACGTTCGCGATGAAATGCATCGTGTTGTGCAGACACACTGCATAGCCAAGCCCATCACTAGGTCTTATTTTCAGGGTAGGGCTTCTATTGCGCAAATGCTTAGAAATCCTGCTAGGGCTTATTTTATGGGTAGGTCTTACTTTTGGGGAAACACGGTACAAAGTTTAAGTGAGGTCTGTGGCATTGAGCAAAGACAGTTTTGGATGGAGTTTAGAGTTTTGGGGACCTGCCAGGACATTCCATTTTCTTCAGTTTGCCAAGGGCAAATATTTTTCCCTTTTAAAAGTAAACATTTCACTAAGACTGCAAAAGCGACACAGAATTCTAGATTACTTTGAAAAACACAGATAGGATTTGTAGGAGTGGTGTCTTAGCTTAAAAATAAATTTTAAAAAATAGAAAGGAGATTTGAAAATCACCCATAGTCGCAACTTCCAGAAAACATGACTATTGACAATTTGCAATCTTCTTTTAATTAACTTCTTCTTTTTCTAATTCTATTTCAAAGTACTAGGGTGCACAAATGGTTTAGGTTACATTGGTCACTTTTGTAATGCTTGAGTCCCAGCTAAAGGTGTGCCCATCACCCAAATATGTTTGCTGTACCCCATTAGGTAGGTTTTTGTCCCTCTCTCCGCACCTTCTCCCCTGGTTGATTTCTACTGAGTTTTACTTCCCTCTGTGCACATGTGTGCTCATGGGTTAGTTCCAATTTAGTCGAGCAGGGAGAAGGGCAGGGTTAAGGTTAGGGTGTAGGCGACGTTGATCTGACCTAGAGGGTGGGGTCAAAGCCCAGCAGGTGGCAGGCTGTTCTGGGACTACAAGGATGCCAAGTCACATGGACGAACGCGCGTGCTCAGATTCCCCTGCGCAGTTGGGGCGGGCACTTGACCCCTAGGCACCAGGTCCAGCTTAAAGGAGTCTCCGCTTGGTCCGCTGCCTCCCCAGCCCGCAGCGGCAAAGCTAAGTCCCCTGCAGAGCTGGCGCCCTGCATGTGAGAGTTCACATGGCTGTAGCTGCTGCCCAACCCCCATGCACTACAGACCAGGCAGGGCACATCTGCGGCCGGGGGCGGAGCCCCCATGTTGTCTGCTGCAGGCCTGCAGGGTGGGCCGTTGCCCCCGCGCGCTCTCCTACTAATCTTCCCCGTCTGCTTTGATATTATCAAATGTATCGCCCTGTCTCCCTTTTATTCCCCCACACTGAGAGCCGGACGCTGCTTCTCTGTTTTCACAATGTTCTTTCTGAGAACAGCTGTCTCTAGCAGCACCTGCTTCCTGTTTGCTTTTTTTATATATATATAATTTATTTTTTATTTCAGCATATTATGGGGGTACAAATGTTAAGGTGACATATATTGCCCTTGCCACCCCTCTCCCCTCGGGTCAGAGCCTGTTGGCTCTTCTTGCCTGCGCATGCCTGGGATGCTTCTAACCCGCCATTTTCTCCCCTCCTGAGTCTGCTTCTTGGAGGCTTCGGGATCAACTTCCGGGGCACGGGGGCGACACCCCTGCCGAGTGGCCCCGGCCACTTCCTGTGCGCGTGGGCCCTGGTGCTCTTCTCTGCCCTGTCTTGCTCCGGGGCTCAGGCCTCTCCCTGCCGATTTCTAGCAAGGCGTTGCTCTTTCGTGTTCTCAGCAACTTCTTCCCGTGGAGTCTCCAGTGGTTTCTGGCACTTTCTCCTCAGAGTTATACCTGAGTTCGTTGATTTCCCCTCCCCACTAAAACATTTTCTTCTTTGTGAGGCGATATGGCCACCGAAGTCTCTAGTCGGCCATCCTGCATCGGACCCCCTCGCGCCCGTCCCTTCCTGCTCTCTAATGTTTAACGTTGTGCTGGGCCCCTTTCTGCTTTGATTGGGACACAGAATTTGGTCCCGTAACATGGGCGAGAGGTTTGCGTGAACAAGCGCAGTTAGTTCGCAGTCAACACGGGCTCGCCCTCCAAGTCTTGCCGTGAAAGGTCCAAAGGCCCCTGTGAACCTCAGAATCTTTCTGCTGGGCAGCTGTCTCTGCTTTTGCTCCTGCTGTGAAGTTCAGCATTTTCCCATTCGTGATCAGGCATGCCCTAGATATCCACTTACTGGCAAGCACCAACTTCGTTAACAGTTCTCATGCACAAATACAGTCCCATGCATGGTTTTTATTTTACTATGCCAATGTATAAAAATTTACCCGTTTCCCAATTTATTTTGTTTTATTTTTTTCAGGAAGAATCGGGAGCAATCACGGTATTGCATGTCTTCATTACTCAGAGACCTTACTCACGTATCATGTGAACTCCAAAAATCATGTTCTAATCTGCCCTTCCAAAAAGAGGAACATACAACCATTATCCCATGTAAAGTTTATCTGCAAATTTATTATGATTAGTTTCTTGTTCTTTGTGAGTAATGCTTTAGCAAGATCACAAATTATATAAAATAGTCATCAGTTTTTTTGAGTAGTCATTATACTTTATGATAATTTTTTATGAAGCTGGGAAGAAGATGTAAATACTGTAAGACATTGCTTTAATATTGCAAATGATGCCTAAAGGCCCAAAACTGTTAATAATTAATACTCCAATATGCACCGTAACAGAATTTCTTTTTTTTTTTTAATCCTCGTCTGGATTACAGCCTCATGTGAACTGCAACTTCATCAGAAATGGATATTCTGATTACAAAGCAAAGAAAGAAGAAATAAAATAATTTTTTTGACAGGAAAGATGAAAAGGGAAATTTCCTTTCAATTTTAATTTTTGATTTTTTTATGGAGAGTCAACTTTTGTAGTTATTAGTCATTCCTTCCAATTGTGTGTGTGTGTGTGTGTAACATATTTAATTGTTTGAAATGATACATGATGAAGAAGGGGCATTATGATGGCACAAACAAAAAACAGATTTATAGCTGGATATTTCTTATAGTCTAACATTGTCACTGGTGAGATTGCCAATTTCTTATAATAATTCATGATGATATATATAGATTCTGAATGGAAAATTTTACCTCAGCAAAAATTAATGATTTTATCATGAGTATATAATAATTTACTTAAGAATTCTCCTTAGTAAGAAACATGTAAAGTTGTTTCAACTTATGTTCACATGCAGAGTAAACTGAATCAACTCTCTCCTCATACATGTCATTGGTTAACACAGTGTGCAATTTGGGCGTTGCCTGCTCATTGTTGTTATCGTGGCTGAACAATGTATAACTAGGGTGTTGCCCAACCACTGGGGCAAAGGGAAGAAACAGAATCTGCTTAGCCAGAAGAGAAGCAGGCAATGGATCCCAAATACCAGCGTGTGGAGCTAAACGATGGCCACTCCATTCCTGTGCTGGGATTTGGCACCTATGCACCTCCAGAGGTAAGGAAACAGATCTTGGTGTTGCAAGCTCAAAATAATAGACACCTAGGCTGAGTGGCAGCCAGCAGGAGTGTCAGGATCATTTCAGTGTGGGGGATTTCACTCTGGGGGATTCACTGAGTTCTCAGTTTTCCCAGACTAGAGATATTCTGTGTACGAGATGGAAGGCAGTTAGGCTTCACTCTCCATCCAATTCTAGTGTATGGTCACCTGTTCACTATGGACTCTGGTTTGTTCCTCTGTCTCTGCACTTTCCCCAGCTTGGCAGGTGACATCAAACTCAGCAGTAAGGAACACCGCCCATCAGCTCCCTTTGCTGGGAGGCTTTAGTGCAATGGCAGTGATTTCTTTATAACTCAGGAAATCTTTCCTCCTGCTAGGTAAACATGATCCAAAGCAATCTTTCTAGTAAAAGTTACCATATAGGGTGCATTAAAGAATTGGGAGAGGCTGGCGCAGTGGCTCACGCCTGTAATCCTTGCACTCTGGGAGGCCGAGGCGGGAGGATCGCTCAAGGTCAGGAGTTGGAAACCACTCTGAGCAAGAGTGAGATCCCATGTCTACTAAAAATAGAAATAAATTAATTGGCCAACTAAAAAATACATAGAAAAAATTAGCTGGGCATGGTGGCACATACTGTAAGTCCCTGCTACTCAGGAGGTGAGGCAGAAGGGCCGCTTGAGCCAGGAGTTTGAGGGTTGCTGTGAGCTAGGCTGAGCCACAGCACTCTAGCCCAGCAAACAGAGGAGACTCTGTCTCAGAAAAAAAAAAAAGAATTGGGAGAGTATTCCTGTTTTGCTGGCTGGTAGACTTGAGCACTGGACCTGCACTAAATAGAATTTCAATTGTCCTCTCCCTTAGAAATACCTGAAAGGAAACCATAACTCATTTTAGTAGAAAGCTAGAACTAAGAGGAATTATCTTTGTCCTTGTTATTGCATGAATTTGTATGAAAATGGTCCAAAGACACAAAAGTGAAGCAAACTGAAAAGTTCAGTTTCTGAACTAGTGCTAACTGGAAGGAAATTGCTTCCAACATTGTGCTCAGATGATGAAGTGTGGACCAGGACTACTTCTAAAGCCTGAGTCTCAGTTCTCATCTATAAGACATAAGGATACGCAGAGATACTTTGAGGACAGCTGACAGGACATTACTTTGTAATACAAATCAGCATGGAAGGAGAAGTGGGATGAGACACCCCTGAAAGTTAGCCTGGTCAGTCTGCGAGGACAGCACAGACAGACCTGGATGGTGTCAGGGGAGAACAGGAGCCAGGAGTGTAGCCCTTGTAATTTCATGGTAAAAGAAATTTTCTGAAATACTTACAAAAATGGGAAAATAGTTTGTTTCATTCAGGTTATATTCACTTACAAATGTACTTCAAATCTTCTCCAATGGTAATAACAATAATTTAAATTTCACTGAAGATTTCTAGACAAGAGTGCCTTGATTTTTAGCGGCCACGTAGGCTCCACTCTAAGTACTTCATTTACCAGACCTGTCTAACCTCCCCCACCTTCTATATCGATATCAACGATAATTCTAACAACGATCCGCCTCTCCGACATGATCTCTTCATCGGAACGACCTATGCGTCAATGCACACTCTAAGATCACAATGAAAGAGAGTTCTCCATGAACGCTCGTGCTATGAAAGAAGCAAGGCCTTTGCATGTGACACCTTAACATGCGTCTCACAAAACCGGGATTCACAAGCAAGTGGCACCACCTAAAATGAACCATGGACGTGATCTCTGAGAAAGACGGACAGGTGGTGTTCATCTAATCATTCGAATGACACTGCTATGAGATGTTGGCGAAAGCGAGAACAAGGCCGGAAGAAACAA